TGAACAGGTTTCATTCTCCAAATGTGTAATACAAACAGTGTAATTGACTATCTTTCCATTTGTTTTCTTCTTGTCTGGTGGCTCCCACGTAACTGATAACGATGAACTGCTTAAGGCGACAATTTGAACATTTAAAGGTGGACCTTCGGGAACTAAACAAAAATAAAAACATTTGTTTTAAAGATTTATATAAAATATTAAATACACTTTAGAAAGAAGTCCTAACAAGTGTACACTGTCATTGTTAACTTAAATATAATACAGTAAAAAAACATGATTGAAATAAATATCGACCAGAAAAGATTTGAGCTTTCAAAAGTCGTCTATGGCAATAACACCATCAATGCAACAACAGCCGATATGTATACACAAAAACTGATATGAACTCACCATCTTCAGCAGTTCTAAAAGTAGCTGTAGTTGATCTACCAAAGCCTTCAGAATTGCCAGCGGTTACATTAACTTTATACGTTGCGTAAGGAACAAGATTCGTAATGTTGTACGGTTTTTTGTCAGTTACCTCCAGAGTTTTATCAAAAACAATCATAGTATCCTTCAGCAAAATCAATAGATATCTTGTAAGAGGATTCGAGATATTTGTACCAAGTTTTACACCAGTTTTTTTGGGATGTTTCCATGATATCTCGAGGTACGTCGATGCAGATTTGGTTGCAATGAGATCTGTTGGTTTGTCTGGGAGTAAGTCTGCACGATAAAAGAAAAATCTACAAATTGAACCATGTGTAGCCCCTAAGTGAAATAAGTGTTCTGCTTTTTCTCCAATAACACGTGTTAAACTTAACTGCATGTTGAAAAGGCTTGTTTCAATAAGTTTATTTCATTAGAGAAAGAAACTAACACTTCAGCCTTCATGGAAAATTGTTCTGTTTTGTCAACTAACTCATGTTTAATTAATACTCAGAGAAAAAAACTTTATATATTGAAAAATTAAGTGCTTACAGTGCAAAGTAAACCTGGTATATTTTTTCTACCTCTTACCTCCACCACAAATTTCAATTCGTAAACACGGTGCACCAACAAATTTCAATGGAAAGATTCGCAAAGCTTTGGATTTAAGGCCACCAGAAAACTTTTCTATAGCCGCATCATTGTAACCATTTTGTTTCCTAGATAAATCTGGAATAAAACAAAAAATTGATTTTCGTGTATTTGCAGAGCAAGGTTAGAGAAAAGAAAGGTTTGTTTAACGCTGTCCAGAGGAGAGTAGTTTATGCATTGTCTATGTATCTCTTCAAATCATGCACATAGCTACAATTTAAACTTTATAATCAAATGCAAGAGTCCTTCGTAGTGCAGGAGTAACCAAGACAATCAACACAGTGACGTAGCTAGCCCACAAATTTGGTCGTGCTATATGTAAATTTCTCAGAGCTCACTAACTGTAAAAACAATAGATCTCTAAAGAAATGAATAATGATAATGATCTGAAATTTACATAGAACCAGCAATTTTGCGTGCCGGCTACACCACTGAATCAACATCTGCACACAAGTTTGTATATAAATAGCAATTTAAAAGTTTACTTAGTTTATAACTTCATTCCTTTTTTAAATTTCCCTTTAAATTTATAATATACAAATTCGATAAGTCTACTGTTACCTTCTGGGATTTTTCAGATTTCCAGTTCACACCATCAATGTTTGTCTGCAAGTGATATTTAGTTACAAAGCTTGAACTTGAACTGTCTCCAAAGATAGTGATAACGTTAACTGTATAAAGACTCGGAAAATTCAGTTGAAGGTAATGATTGCCATTAGCAGCAGGAGCACACCATGAACTACCACTGGATATTCTTGCTTTAGCAGCACTACGACTCTTTGGGAAGGCAGTAAACCAAGAATCTGGGAATTTTTCTGCGTTTTTTAATAGAGGATTATCACAAACATGACCTTAAATAGAAAAGGATTTGGTTGAAATGCATTATAACATTAGAACTGGTTTGATTTGATAGAGAGCAATGGTGCACTCTCATATTGTTCTCCATTCACGTAAAATTGGAAAAATTAAAAAATTGTTTTCTTAAGAAAGAAAAAGAGCACAAGATATATTGGAGGAATACGACTGATTTTGCATGCTTTTATTAAATAAGGTTAAATTCCAGTTGGAATCAAGCCAGCTATGACAAGAAACCGTAAGTATCTTGTCTAATAATAACAATACCGTAGCGATTTAAATTTCAATAAAGAGTGAAGGTCAATCGTATTGCAGAGGAATGACAATTGGACATTTTTTGAAGCACGAAATGAAGTAGCAAGAGTAAAATTAATTTAATCCTCACTATTCGCAGCAATCTTGTTTTAATTATTTATTATTTAAGAGTAGCAATGGTTTATATTTTGTGATGCTATATTTCTTTTGTTATGTAAAAGAAGAATTGTAAAATTCTCCAAGAAAGCGTAAAATACAGTGACACTACGATGTCAGATGTAAGTCTTGATGATAGAGGTAAGTCATGATGCTTAACAATAGACAGATGTAAGTTGAGAACACAAAAGTAACACATTCATTCTTTAAATTCTTCGCTAAAAATCTTTTTCTAACGTCATACAAATGTGTCCTGCAATACGTTAATACATTCAAAAAATTGAATGAGAATGCTTACATGTAACATACGAGTATTGAGAGCAATCATTATTTTGAGTGATAGCACATTGAGATAAATCGTTCACTCGAGAATCACAATTGACAATTCCAGGTATAAACGATTGATGCATCAAAGATGATAGTGACATTGAGCCTTTCACAGATGCTGCGGTAGGATAACCAAGTTTTTTACAAATAATCGTATTTATTTTGTGCCAAAAATCTTTGTTGCAAATGGTGAAGTTTCTAAACTTGGTGATAATATTCACGACACCTTCGTTCGGAAGATTCGACTTAGACAGGCGTACATCCATAACTACACAAATCAAAATTATTTTTCCTTTAATTGTGATTATGGCGCTTATCTTAAAGTGAAATCTGTGTTTTTAGAAGTGGTTTTATGAACATAAATATGACAAATCTCGTCCATGAATAAAATATATACACGGAGTTTGAATATCAGAAGAACACAGAAGGTGACATTAACTTAAAAAAAATTTTAGTTTGAAAGCACTTAACCAGAAATGTTTTCCACATTCTGATGGACACAGTATCTTATAGATTTACACTTAAAGTTGGTAAGCACTGTTTTGATTTTAATCTTTAAGTTGACAATGAACTACAGGCAAATAAGTTGAACTGAGAACTTTTCTCTTGTGTTGTAAACACGAATCACAACAAAATGTGTCTAAGTGATTATGTGAATCATTAATGAAACCAGAACAAATACCGTTTTTTATAGGTGAGCGCTGCGTTTAGCTTCCCAATTCATAGGAATTGTAATGAATCTATCTTTGTATATATATACAGTATATGTAAAAATTCTGTAGTGTGAAGTCATGAAAATATGAATACAAATGCAATTGTAAATGTCACTTTTGGCCTACATAGAATGGCCAAAAATTTTAAAAGAAATAGATTTGATAAATCAAATTGACTGGAAGAAGATATGTTTCCATGAACAAAGTTTGCATTAACAAACTAAAAACACAAAATTCACCAAACCATTAAACTTATGAAAAATATTTAGGACACAAGTTTAAATGTCACATTATAAAAAGACACTAAATTATACAATACGAGATAAAACTGCATAAACAAACCACGCCTGGTGAAGACACCCGACGAAAATTCAAATTTGTGTCAACTTTTCTAAATTGATAACGTACATAGTATAAAAATGAGCACCATACCATTGCGCATTAAGGTCAAAACTTGTCCCGAAGCTCTTTAATAATAAGCAAAATATAATCTGCCCATATAATACTTACGATTGCAAATTTTTCTGTATGGCATACTTGTGTAGTTACATTGATATTCAAAGTAAAGATATTTCTCCAAACCAGGACAAATATTTGAAGGGAAATGATTATCATCAACAGTTATATTACATTCCCTTTCACCATCACAGTAATTTTTAAGGTCACATGTTACATCGACACTACAATTGTAATCAAAACTGGAGCCACGAATGCTTCCGTTTCTCAATCCACGGTATTCTGCAACTTTTATCACCATATATTGATTATTAGAACAACTAACGTCCGATATATTTTTTCCATCACATGTTACTGATCCTATAGAAGACACACAAAAAATAAATAAACTCCAATCTATACAAGTTTATTTGTGAATTCCTGTAAAATAAAAGTTGATTTGATAAAAATGAAGTGTGTGATGGCAGTGACTTCACTGGCGCCATTCCTATATCTGCGGCCTTGCAATGGCTTTTAGTTAGAGTTTAAGTATATATACGCTAACTGGATGAATATTCTCACTTGCCAAAATTGAATCGCTGATCTTCTTCTTTTTTACAACTGACAAGTTCCAAGTAGGGATAGGTTATACATTTATTATAGCGTGAATAGAATAGACCACCCCAAAATGTTTGGGCTATGGCATTGATGGCTCCGCATTCTCCATTAAAATTTCCATCAGATAACCCCACATAAATTCTGAATCTCACAAGACACCTTGTTGTATTCGACCTATTGATGGAGCCAGATTGTAAAAATTTAAAATAAGCTGACTTCTCAAAACAATTCCCTGTATGCGAGAAGGGAGAGAGTAAATCATCCCAAACACACTTTCCTGACTGAACATGTTTGATGAAAAATCCATTCGTATCTGAAAAAGGACAATGATACATGATAAAATTGATTGAAAATACCACACTCTACAAAATATATATATAAAAATAATATGACTTTATGAAAAATAATTTAGCATACTGAATTCTATCAATATAGGAAAAAACACTCAAAAAAAAGCCATCTTGAAATTCAAGCTTTCTAAAGAATTAAATAAACCAATTGCTGTTGAGGGTCATTTTAAAAATAATGGCGTATGAAACAATTTAAGGCATCCAGCATAGAGTATTGAACTAAAATACATGGAACGTTGATGACAACATAACAAGTGTGACTTTTTCCACCGTATAAAACATACTTGTAAGGGAATTTGTGTTGTAGGATTCCAAAGCTAGTATAACTTCTATAATAATAGTTATACTGTTCTACTCTTTCATTTATGTACTTATGTGAACACGTAAAGTTTTTTGGTTCTTTCTTTTTTTCGTATATTGCTTTTTGTAAAGGAGGATAATAATCATAATCGACGTGTGACGAAACAGTAATGTTTAAAATAATCGGGCTGCATCCACATGTCCCTAACAAAAAATTAAGTTATCTTTAACTGGTTATCGAGAGAAAAAGAACAAGTAAAAAGTGACACTCATTTGGCCACAAAATGTTACATACTATTCACATTGAATCGAAAGTCCTCCTTAAACCCAAATAGACAATAACTATACAGACTATATCATATAACTGCATATATATATATTTTTTTGACTATACTGTCATATTACTTTGCTTTTGTAACTAGACAGAGGAACAATGAACAGGAGATTATGCTGCGTCAATGCTTTGAAGCTAGTGTATCCAAATCAGTTGAGTGATTTAACATGTACCTTACGGGTTCAAACCATTTACTTTAGGTACCTTACTTTATTGCACTTTCAAAGAACACGGTTTCAATTACATATTTAAATTAAACAGTACCTCAGTAATATAAGTGTTGTGATTGTTTGCCAAGTACATTTCCAGTTGATGTTCTGTACTTACTGTAAACTAAACTGTTGTTTACTTTACCTTCAAGAGGACATATTTCACTAAACATTTTAAATCGCTCCAAAAGATATTTCTTCTCCTCAACACAACAACGTGTAAGAGTATTGTTGCATTTCGAATCGATTTCAATTTTGTCCGCCACAAATTTCTTCCATTCTTCATCACAAAACTCAAGTTCTTCATTCCAACCCATTTTCATTGTGAATCCTTGACGGAAAGACAGCCAAAATAACCACCATATCATTAAACTCATCATTGCATAGATCCAAGGATATACAGTAAAGCTCTAAATTAAAATTGATTGTTGGATGTATGTACGTAATCACAGAAGACTTTAAATCTATATTTAGATCGACAATGACTACGTCACAATTACATCTGTGATGCAAGCAGATCACGATCAAAACGTATTTTTGAGCAATATATGAGCATTATCTAAAAAAGTCATTTCATCAAAATTGTGTAGCGAGAAAAACTGTTCAGAAATAGATAGAGTTAGTCTCATATGGCTGCATCATGGCTCTCTTATTGGTAGCCACTGTAGCTATTATATAGGTACGTGGTTATAATTTTCTTAAAATAATGAAACTTGGTTAACTTTAAATTTATGCTTTATTCTTTATTATTATACGGGTATACCGTATTGGATTTTCATTCGAATTTTTTATTCATCGAATTCAACACATTAGCAGGTATAAAACAGCTAAAACGCTCAGTTGACAAATTCAAAAAGTAACAGTTGAAAAATTAACTAAATAATTTAAAAATTTTAAAAGATAATGACCAAAAAATAATGTTGAAAGGGTGTTAGATATTTACAATACATGCACCGCGGAGCTTTTTTTCTATTGAGGAGGGAAGAGCTTACGAAATAAACGAACGGCGATATTAAGGGCAGCTAAGTAGTTTTGGGTGTCAGCGTTATCTTGAGATTGCTCAAATTCTTTTATAAAAATTTACAGAAATATCACAGAAAATCATAGAAATGTTGTGCAACTTTTACATTTTTCAAGCTTATTCCTTTGCTTGCAGTTATTTGTGGAGTACTTGATGACAATGAATACTCCATAAGAATTGAAAATCTTAAGGGGATTTCTTTTTAATTTTTCGCAGGTTCCGCTAAAGAACAAAATTTTTTACAAAACAGTGGAATAGGATTTGCTTTTGAGGTAGTTGAGAGATTTGAGCAAAAAATATGATAGTATATAAATATATGAATCAAAATATTAATGTGATAACCTGTCCCAAATCCTACATCTAGCGTGGAGGTATTGTGGTAAATGAAAAAATCTCTCCATTTACTATAAGAATCAAATCATTTGCAGGGCATAAGTTGTGTGGTGTTTGTATTAACACTTATTTACCAAACTCAGTCGAAGAAAAAATTTGCAGTATTAAATAATATAAATAAGATAAGGAAACTTCCGTTTTACAATCAACTACATCACATCTTACCTTTGTTTTTTTATTAATTGAAAAACGGACACAATAAGGCGACTGAAGCAATAAACCTTAAACAAACAGAGAAAAATTACGATACATACAAGTCAGACGAACAACAGAGTTGTGGCTTTCGCAACGTTTTAATTGCAACTGCTGGCCAAGGCTGTTTCCTCGAGTGTGCAGTGCCGTATTGAGTATATACAAACACTCATGCCATCTGCTTCAGTTTTTCAACATATCATAGAAATTGTTTTGCGTCAAATCCTATCATTTACGAATCAACAATAATACTTTAAATGTTTGAAAATTTGGATGTTGTTGTTGGTTGACAAAGCAATGTTATAGAACATAGAGTTTTTGACATTTTAGAGAATTAGCTCTGTTTATAGTTACATAGCAACGAAGCACAAATAATGCATCTAATGTGGGCAAACACGGCAAAGCAGGTTAATGACTTCAAGTGCTCAATGACGAAAAATTATATTGTTCCAATATAAAACGTATTTTAAGTTTTTGACTATCAACTTTACCAACAGTAAATTCAATTTTGCTGACAGTCATCAGCAAAATTTTAGGCCTTAAATACAACAAATTGTGTCGGACCGAACTATACAGTAAAATTTACATCGTAATACCAGCTGTAACTTTATTGCCTACAGGTGTTTGTTTAAACAATAGACAAAATACGACAGCAGCAAAAATACAGTGAGAAATGACAAGAAAAACATCGCTTCAAGAATAACGACTTATGAATGAAAAATGGTTTAAGTGATTGGGTTCAGCGGTAAAGAATTAAGAACAACAGTTTAACATTTCAATATTAATTTTAATTTGGCAAAAAACAAACTTCTAGTTAATGCATTGGACAGCCACTCTGTTGGATATTATCAAAGTCTACTACAACAAGCAAGGATCATTTCAATTTAGGCAATTTTCACAGTTTTCTTCGTAACTTAGCTATGTTAATTAGCTGTAAAGTGTTGTAAATTTACCTGTAATGAACCACTGGTTTGAATTGTTATAGATCTGAGAGACTGTATATGGTCATTGTCAACATTAAGTCATTAACAGCATTTAACTATGTAATAACATGGTGGCCTCTTGCTATCACAGGGACGTTTACTGACGTATTTTCTCATCATAATATTCATTAGGGACGTTTAGAGTAAATATTCCTCATCAATAATAAAACAATTCTGAAGTGAACAGGTGCACAGAAACACGTAGAAAAACATAAAATAAAACTCAACATCCGCTGCATTATAGGGCCGTATTTAACAAATGGGAAGGTTGGGTAGCATTGCATGCTTAATAGGATGTTATGAGAAATAATCATATTTACATAAGGTGTTAGAATACAAAATGAGACGGTGTCAAATAGATTATATAAATTACGAAGTTAGGAAGCAAAATATAGTGAAATTAAAAGAGTTGAATAGAACTGCCTTGGACAGATGTTAAGCCATAGTAAAGGAAACATACCAAAGGTCCACTTTGCTGAAAAACTTTCTGCTGTACATATAATTAGATAACAGACTGCCCGTTAGCCAGCTCAGCATTCCTATTACTCAAAAAAAATCAATTTACTAGCTGCCAATATAGTAATCATATGCGCAATGAGATATACGTAGCACAAAAAAATCAATGGACTTGCTCTACTGTATTTTTACTATACTGTCAATAAGTGAAGACTTGTAGCTATTGATTATGAGGCTCTCATTAAGGGAGAGTTTGTATGAATCGTGAGAAGAGGAAATTCTTTCAAAGTCGTCCATGATGGGGGTATCTCCAGACATGTTTATGTTAGCAAAATGCTCGATAACGTTAGGCGTGAGGTTTGGTTACCTTCAAATGGAGATATTCTCATGTGCTACGAAAATCCGATGTGTAAATGACGTGTGATTTGACCCACATAAAATACGTACAGCTATAGCACTTTAATGAATACACATCATCCAATCTCTGAGGTTTGAGATTTTTTCCTAAAAGGTGAAGAAAGAAAATATACGTTAAGAAAGGTGGAAAACAAATTTCATTAGTACATGCGGAAAAGCGGCAGCACTAAGGCGATTTATTTATGTGTGTATTTGAATGGAATGCATACCTGTGAAAAAAAGACAGAAGTAGATGGATTTTTTGTGAGCAGTAATGACGGGAGGTTTTGGGAAAAAGGTGTTGTCGAGGAAGCGACGTGTTATTTGGTCAAATACGCGGGAAAGAAAGACTTTTTTGATGAGTAACTATCTCGTAGATTCAAGTAAAACAAAAATTTTCAAAGGCTAAACAAAAGTTTGTAAAACATTTTAAAGGTTTTAAAGATTTGTAAAAAACTTTCAAAGATTTGAAAAAGATTTTCGAAAACAAAGATTTGATGAAATATACACACGTGAGGCTAGTGAACGTTTGCGATAAACGGAACGCAGCTGCAATGCCTCGTACGTGGGTTAAGCCACACGTCCTTACAGACCAGATTTTCGAAGCATTTGGGAAAATTTTCCCTTGCAGGTAACCAAATGTCAAGCCCTGCAACGAAAACAACCGTGCACCAATTAACATAGAAAGCCTGCAAATTTGTCTTGCTATGTAAATAATCTTTACTAACTGTATTAAAACAACAGATTTCTAAAGAAACAATGCAGATGATTTACAAAGCACAACCAAATATGAGGGTATTATACGTTACTGAGAGCAAAGTTCGAATACAAGCACGATATTTAAAGTAGAAATTCGGTAACTTCCATACAACATACGATGATCATAAATAGCGTTGGACGATTATCAAAAATCAGCTCATGATTATTTTTAGGAAATTATACGATATTCGATAATATCGCGATAAATACGATAACAAAATGCACCACATTATTTTTAAATTTTGATCAATAAAATGAACTAAACATAATCAACAAAGTAACTAAAGTTTTATGATAGTTACTCAATATTCAATAACAGTTACCGGATGACACAAATGCAGCGGGCACACAGCGCAAGCAAAGCATGCAATTTCATTGTTTAGCGCATCAATACATAAATATCAGTGATTTAGTCTAGCTTTTGTACTTTACTATATCGTATTAATTTGGTAAATTTATGTTTGAGCTACGTTTTCCGGAAATAAAAGAATCATTTGGGTTCTATAAAGCTAAATGTACATACAGGCAAAGCAATATCATGATAGTCATCAAGCATGACAATAACTTCGATAAATCGATTTATCGAAATATCACCCAACCCTAATCATAAATGTGTCAAAGTGTTGGTAAACATCAAAATCCCTTTCAAACATGAATTCAATAATAAAAATTTTTATGGTCTATTTTGTAGTGGCTGCATAGTCCATTAATGAAAATAGCGCTGGGTGTTGATGCAATTGGGGCTTCAAGAGAATAATAAAGACAAGCTTACCGCTGTTTCAACGAACTGTGGCGTCTATTCTGGATCAGCTTGATGCATTGGAACGCATTAATCGCTTGGACAGTTTTGACTCGGTCGACAAGATTTGAGATAGCAATATAGGTACCACAGTGACCTGCTCCGTCACTGGATTAAGAAAATAAATATTTTTGTGTTTGTTGCAAAATTCTTGTAGAGATCTTCACTTAGACCTTAAACCGCCAAATTATAACCACGAGAGCGACGAGGTTAATCACTTGCTAATATTTGAGTCACACGTGTTTTACCTGCATATAACAATGACAGGTCTATTTACATCAGCAGCTCTTTGTGAATGTTCAACTTTAGATAAAATTTCCACCATACTGTGAACATCTTTAGAAACATCATGAACCGGCCACGATATGTCATGAATCACGGACCATACGACCTTTTTTAATATCCTAAGAAGCAAAAAATAAATAAATGTAACAAATCATTTACTCATAAAGACATTCTTTAGAAATCTATTGTTCTTACGGTCAGTAAACACAAAAATATTTGCTGCAACTGCGTAAAAACACTATTGATATTGCGCATTTAATAAATACGACGGGGTTTTTAAAGAAGCATTTCACAATAACAAAACTAATCGTAATCTCAACGTTCACGTTTTCGTTTTAACACTATATTCAGCCTGTAATTACACTCATAAATTAGTTCCAACCAGTATTTCATTTTAATATTTATAATCTACTGATAATTGTATCACTGCATCATATTACTCTTATATAAAATTATCATGCATATACATAATATTCTTATTATACTGAAGATGCAATCATAAGATGTTGAAACACATTTATTTTAAAACAACTCGTCGTATTTATTAAATGCAAAAAAATATTTGCATAGCGAGAGTAAAGTCAGACTGACTACGCTACTGCATAAACATATACATATGAACTTTGTATGAAAGAGAAGTGTATTGATTTATTTGCAACCAATTATTTAAAGCAAAGATTTAAATATGTTTATAGAAATTTCTTTTATCCCAATGATTCTGACTTTTCTCTTATAGAAACGTATTGATTGTAGGCACGCGTTTCTGATTTTTCCTTTAAGATAATGAATATTTTATTGTTTTATTGCAGGTATGTCGAAGCCTGTAATTGAATGTTGAATCTTCTTTAATGATGAACAAATGGTGTAAAAGCACAACAAAGAAGTATCAAAAGACCAGTTGCTAAAAATACTATCTTCACACAATTATAAAAGTAACTAGTATGGAATGAAGATACTGGACTGGATTACTTTGACTTTAATTTTTATATACAGCTATACAACCATTGTAATTATACAAAAAATCACTCTACACAAAGACTGGAACACATAATGACTTAAGTTTCAACATCAGATCACTTTTTAAAGGACACTAATCACCAGACAAAAATATATTAAAACTTTTTACATTGATCATATCAGATAAGGCGACTCACAATTTTGATATCTGAAATTCAACTCTAAGATTCACTTCTTGAAGACATCAAATATAAAACCACAGATCATACCAAAAACGTTTTGATCTACATATCAAATTGCCTGTGATTCTTGGTTTTTGAAATTAATCGTATAAATGTAATTTAGAGAAACTACAACGTATAATTCTAATTTAATTCGATGCCGCATTAGCAAAAAACAAAAGGAAAAATACGAATAGCACACAAATACAGGCATGGAGAATATTTTGTCGTCTGCTGAGTCTTTGTTATTCGGCTTTGTCTCAAAACATGTTGACTAATGATTGTCAATTTCAAAAGGTCAACTTAACGCCAACGAAGTACAAAGTGAAAAAAAATGTAATGAAATATTTAAGAACTGACAATTAATATTGAAAAGGAATTCAATACCTTTTTGATGACAAAATTTCGTCCGTAACCACAAGACTATCCAAATTCTTACTATCCGCCATATTGCATGACATCATTTAACCAGTGAACTCAATATTTAAATAACTGGAATGAAAGCATAAGCCAAAAATTGAAACCAGTTAGGCAATTGCGCTTCATGATTTGTACATCTTGTAAAATTTTGTGTCATTGCTTCAAAGCCATGTCTTCTTTTCTGTTAATCACCAATCTAAGCCGAAGCACATTGTTAACTAGCATTTGCAGTCAAATCATTAAGGAAATTTAATTTACCCGATCATTTTGAATGTTTAAAATGAATATTATCATGACGATATAAAGCAAAACAGGAAAGGACAAGAACAGCACCATCTTATTAACACCAACAAAATCAACTCCATCCACTAAAACTCCTTGTTTCTCACGTTCGGTAATTTCATGTGATGAACGACTATATCACGAGGAAGATTATCGAAAGATTTGTGGGGTAGAAAATTTGAGTTATTATATCAGCGACTTTAACTAACTAAATAGACACTTCGTAAGAACTATCGTAGTAATTGAGTTTTCTCATAGTAGGTTAGAATATTCTGATGATTCCAAAATAGAATCCACTTTCACAATGCCAAATCGTACATCCAGTGCCTACGTATACTGAGTTGTAATTTTCCTTTCTAAAAGGTAAGTTCTTTATTACTTCTATACAAATTACAATCATTGTTAAATAATTTTAATGAACCAGCAAGCGGTTGAAACTAACCTATAGATTAAGACATTAAAGTGAGCATTCGCCGCAGAGTGTTTGATTTGAGCATTTGATAATTTAATTTTCAATTCAGAACTATTCTTGACTTGCAACCATTCTCTTGAGATTTACCAAACAATGTTGCTCGCCTACGTCGGCTAGTGCCAACAATAACACTAATAAAATATTCATTTCTGTCAAACCGCCAACATGGTTGAATTGCAAGTCAAGAATTCACTCTCATCAAATGTTGTCAGTAGATGTTAAATAACTTCAACACACATTTTACTGCACGTTCGAGTACCAGAGTTTAGATTGATCCTAACGAACAGCCAATACGACAAGAATAAAAACCAACCCGGAGCAGCAACTGCACCAGTAAAAGCACCATCATTTCTACCGTTTATAGGATATAAATGAATGACAAAGATGAACTTAATAAACATTAAGTGAGCAGGAGGCGGACAAAAAAAGCAACTGAACTATAAATAACACGTGATTACTTGAAGATATCAATAGACTACTTGATATTACATGACGAGAAGAAACTGTTTTACTTGGGGTTCGTCTGCTCATATTCTTAGGAAGTGAAAGCTCATACATCATAATCGTTGGTGTGTGTTCCAACTAATAAAACTAATGAATCGGAGAAACTCGTGATAGGGTTGGCTATATTTTCATATCTAGAGTCGAGAATCTCTGAATGATATTCTGTACTTCTGTATTTGTAACAATTTGATATTTTACTCATAATTCAAACATAATTCGAACGCAAATTTAAACGGGTTTAATGTTGCGGAAGTTTAGTACCGACTACCTAGATCAATCTTTCGGTGGGTGTTCCGGCCAGTGTTGAAAAACAAGGAGAGGGTTGACAAAAAACTATAGGAGAGAAGGACGTGTTGGGAGATCATATGCATTTTTCTTGTTTTGTAAAATCTTGTCTGGTAGCTTCAAACCCATTTCCTTTTTTTTTCGTTGATCTCTAGTCTACAGCCAAACATAATGCTCCTAGCACTCTAGCAATCAAATTATCAGAAAATTCAATTAACTCGATAACTTTGGATGAATTTAAAATAAATATTTTAATGGGGATAATAAGTGAAGACACGAAAGGACAAGAACAGCAACATTTAACTACCACCAACATAGTTGGTAAAAAAGTAAACTCTATCCACTTAAACTCCCTGTTTCTTACGTCAGGTAAATTAATGAGATGACAGTGTGTACATATTCATATATATTCCATGGACCCCAAAATTATGAATGAATGAAAATCCCGTTCCCCAACTTATTTAAATAAATTACTGAGCATGCTACGCCACTGTTTGTTTGTAATTTAACTTTATTTCTTATTTAATGTACTTAGATAAAAAGTATTACAACTATTATCCTATTTCAAATATTGACTTCATCCTTAGCCTAAAAATTTGATGTTATGTTCTAAATTGTTTTCAAATACTCTTCAGACTCATTCACTCTTATAGTTAAAAAGGAAATAAAATTCTATGCTTAATCATATTCTTCTATAGTACGTTAAATTTCAGAAAACGTCTAATAATTTCGCGAAAAAAATTCAACTTCCCCCATTTTTGAGAACTTTTAGTAGCCGTCAAATTACTACAATACGCAGTTCACTGCACTGTAGCAGAGTTTGAATTGATCCTTACAAAAAGAATGACAATATGACAAAAATAATGGGCAAAATTGCAGCTACAACTACACCAGCAATGGCTCCAATTTTTCAACCGTCTACAAGATAAAATTGAATGACAAATCATAACATTACCAACAAATATTGTCTTTCAACGATCATTTTTGTAAAGCTGAGGGTGTAACCGCTCTCACACCTCATGTATTCATCCCTGTTAACTATTCATTATTTATTTATGGTATAAATTAGGTTTGGAACGCAATGAATATAGTAAAGACGTACACAAAATCACTAAGGCAGTTATTTGTAGGAATTAAATCGGTTGTATCATCAAACAAAATCTATATTCATCGTTAAAAATTTTCAGGTATTTTACTATACTAAAATTTGCAAAGATCTTGAATCATTGCACTTTAGATATCGATAAACTTCCTTATGCTATTGAAAGCAAACACAAAACGTCATGTCTTTCAGACTTGTGCTTTTGGGCAGTTGCTGCCACTGGACTCCAGTCAGTGGAATAATAATCACCCTGAAACGAAGTGAACGTTTATATTTGAATAAAAATTGCAGCAAGCAATGCTGATGAAAACGTAAATAAATGGTCGCACCTCATCATTTATGAAAACGCGCTGAAATATTTTGTAGTTAGTGCCAGGCTTTAGAGGGCCATTATAATAATTTTCACCATTGGAACGCTGTGTTGTGGTTTCACCATGACCAAGTGTAAAATCAGGCTTAAAGTCTCTGCGAGAGACTACAGCAGCAATATACGGCATTGGTTGTGTGGAAGATATGGCCTTAGAATAAGTCACTAAGTCTGTGTTGTTAAAGTTAGAAGGCAATCGACTCTCTTCTGTGACATTTTTCATCGCGACTACATAGAAATATCTGCAAATTTAAGGCAAAACATTTTTTAAAATACATGCATAACCTCTGCTTTTGTTAATGGTTAAAATATATGTTATGCATGCATCCGCAATGCCAAAGAAAAGCGACGAGTCATCAAAGCTTTCCCAGAGAGATATTTAGACTACCTCGATCCCACATGAAACCAACTGTCCTATACTTAGCCATGAATCCGAAAAACTCAAAAAATACTTTTAAGTTCCTTTAAGTTTTTTTTACAATAATTTGCTCTAGTAAAATACATAGTTACCGATATTCCACATTTGGATTTTGCAACAAATAAGTCAACGTATTTCCAATCTGCTTGGTGGACAGTTCAGGTGCCACTAAATAAATAAACTTGAATAAATTTATCATCTTAAACAAACCTGTGCATAAACCATAGACAACTTACATCCATTTGTAAATACCCATGTAACATTGCTGTAACATCCAGATCCCACTATTGTAGAAGCTAAAACACGAACATAATATTTTGTCCCTGGTTTCACATTATTTATGTCCAAACGCTGTTCCTCGATCATATACTTCATTGAACAGGTTTCATTCTCCAAATGTGTAATACAAACAGTGTAACTGACTATCTTTCCATTTGTTTTCTTCTTGTCTGGTGGCTCCCACGTAACTGATAACGATGAACTGCTTAAGGCGACAATTTGAACATTTAAAGGTGGACCTTCGGGAACTAAACAAAATAAAACATTTGTTTTAAAGATTTATATAAAATATTAAATACACTTTAGAAAGAAGTCCTAACAAGTGTACACTGTCATTGTTAACTTAAATATAATACAGTATAAAAAACATGATTGAAATAAATATCGACCAGAAAAGATTTGAGCTTTCAAAAGTCGTCTATGGCAATAACACCATCAATGCAACAACAGCCGATATGTATACACAAAAACTGATATGAACTCACCATCTTCAGCAGTTCTAAAAGTAGCTGTAGTTGATCTACCAAAGCCTTCAGAATTGCCAGCGGTTACATTAACTTTATACGTTGCGTAAGGAACAAGATTCGTAATGTTGTACGGTTTTTTGTCAGTTACCTCCAAAGTTTTATTGAAAACAATCATAGTATCCTTCAGCAAAATCAATAGATATCTTGTAAGAGGATTCGAGATATTTGTACCAAGTTTTACACCAGTTTTTTTGGGATGTTTCCATGATATCTCGAGGTACGTCGATGCAGATTTGGTTGCAATGAGATCTGTTGGTTTGTCTGGGAGTAAGTCTGCACGATAAAAGAAAAATCTACAAATTGAACCATGTGTAGCCCCTAAGTGAAATAAGTGTTCTGCTTTTTCTCCAATAACACGTGTTAAACTTAACTGCATGTTGAAAGGCTTGTTTCAATAAGTTTATTTCATTAGAGAAAGAAACTAACACTTCAGCCTTCATGGAAAATTGTTCTGTTTTGTCAACTAACTCATGTTTAATTAATACTCAGAGAAAAAAACTTTATATATTGAAAAATTAAGTGCTTACAGTGCAAAGTAAACCTGGTATATTTTTTCTACCTCTTACCTCCACCACAAATTTCAATTCGTAAACACGGTGCACCAACAAATTTCAATGGAAAGATTCGCAAAGCTTTGGATTTAAGGCCACCAGAAAACTTTTCTATAGCCGCATCATTGTAACCATTTTTGTTTCCTAGATAAATCTGGAATAAAACAAAAAATTGATTTTCGTGTATTTGCAGAGCAAGGTTAGAGAAAAGAAAGGTTTGTTTAACGCTGTCCAGAGGAGAGTAGTTTATGCATTGTCTATGTATCTCTTCAAATCATGCACATAGCTACAATTTAAACTTTATAATCAAATGCAAGAGTCCTTCGTAGTGCAGGAGTAACCAAGACAATCAACACAGTGACGTAGCTAGCCCACAAATTTGGTCGTGCTATATGTAAATTTCTCAGAGCTCACTAACTGTAAAACAATAGATCTCTAAAGAAATGAATAATGATAATGATCTGAAATTTACATAGAACCAGCAATTTTGCGTGCCGGCTACACCACTGAATCAACATCTGCACACAAGTTTGTATATAAATAGCAATTTAAAAGTTTACTTAGTTTATAACTTCATTCCTTTTTAAATTTCCCTTAAATTTATAATATACAAATTCGATAAGTCTACTGTTACCTTCTGGGATTTTTCAGATTTCCAGTTCACACCATCAATGTTTGTCTGCAAGTGATATTTAGTTACAAAGCTTGAACTTGAACTGTCTCCAAAGATAGTGATAACGTTAACTGTATAAAGACTCGGAAAATTCAGTTGAAGATAATGACTGCCATTAGCAGCAGGAGCACACCATGAACTACCACTGGATATTCTTGCTTTAGCAGCACTACGACTCTTTGGGAAGGCAGTAAACCAAGAATCTGGGAATTTTCTGCGTTTTTAATAGAGGATTATCACAAACATGACCTTAAATAGAAAAGGATTTGGTTGAAATGCATTATAACATTAGAACTGGTTTGATTTGATAGAGAGCAATGGTGCACTCTCATATTGTTCTCCATTCACGTAAAATTGGAAAAATTAAAACTGTTTTCTTAAGAAAGAAAAAGAGCACAAGATATATTGGAGGAATACGACTGATTTTGCATGCTTTTATTAAATAAGGTTAAATTCCAGTTGGAATTAAGCCAGCTATGACAAGAAACCGTAAGTATCTTGTCAAATAACAACAATACCGTAGCGATTTAAATTCCATTAAAGAGTGAACGTCAATCGTATTGCAGAGGAATGACAATTGGACATTTTTTGAAGCACGAAATGAAGTAGCAAGAGTAAAATTAATTTAATCCTCAGTATTCGCAGCAATCCTGTTTTAATTATTTATTATTTAAGAGTAGCAATCGTTTATATTTTGTGATGCTATATTTCTTTTGTTATGTAAAGAAGAATTGTGAAATTCTCCAAGTCAGCGTAAAATACAGTGACACTACGATGTCAGATGTAAGTCTTGATGATAGAGGTAAGTCATGATGCTTAACAATAGACAGATGTAAGTTGAGAAGACAAAAGTAACACATTCATTCCTTAAATTCTTCGCTAAAAATCTTTTTCTAACGTCATACAAATGTGTCCTGCAATACGTTAATACATTCAAAAAATTGAATGAGAATGCTTACATGTAACGTACGAGTATTGAGAGCAATCATTATTTCGAATGATAGCACATTGAGATAAATCGTTCACTCGAGCATCACATTTGACAATTCCAGGTATAAACGATTGATGCATCAAAGATGATAGTGACATTGAGCCTCCCCCAGATGCTGCGGTAGGATAACCAAGTTGTTTACAAATAGTCGTCTTCATTTTATGCAAAAGACTGTTGTTGCAAATGGTGAAGTTTCTATACTTGGTAATAACATTCACGACACCTTCGTTAGGAAGATTTGACTTAGACAGTCGTACATCCATAACTACACAAATAAAAATTATTTTTTCCTATAATTGTGATTATGACGCATATCTTAAAGTGAAATCTGTGTTTTTAGAAGTAGTTTTATGAACATAAATATGACAAATCTCGTCCATGAATAAAATATATACACGGAGTTTGAATATCAGAAGAACACAGAAGGTGACATTAACTTAAAAAAATTTTAGTTTGAAAGCACTTAACCAGAAATGTTTTCCACATTCTGATGGACACAGTATCTTATAGATTTACACTTAAAGTTGGTAAGCACTGTTTTGATTTTAATCTTTAAGTTGACAATGAACTAAAGGCAAATAATTTGAACTGAGAACTTTTCTCTTGTGTTGTAAACACGAATAACAACAAAATGTGTCTAAGTGATTATGTGAATCATTAATGAAACCAGAACAAATACCGTTTTTTATAGGTGAGCGCTGCGTTTAGCTTCCCAATTCATAGGAATTGTAATGAATCTATCTTTGTATATATATACAGTATATGTAAAAATTCTGTAGTGTGAAGTCATGAAAATATGAATACAAATGCAATTGTAAATGTCACTTTTGGCCTACATAGAATGGCCAAAAGATTTTAAAAAAGAAATAGATTTGATAAATCAAAGTGACTGGAAGAAGATATGTTTCCATGAACAAAGTTTGCATTAACAAACTAAAAACACAAAATTCACCAAACCATTAAACTTATGAAAAATATTTAGGACACAAGTTTAAATGTCACATTATAAAAAGACACTAAATTATACAATACGAGATAAAACTGCATAAACAAACCACGCCTGGTGAAGACACCCGACGAAAATTCAAATTTGTGTCAACTTTTCTAAATTGATAACGTACATATTATAAAAATGAGCACCATACCATTGCGCATTAAGGTCAAAATTTGTCCCGAAGCTTTTTAATAATAAGCAAAATATAATCTGCCCATATAATACTTACGATTGCAAATTTTTCTGTATGGCATACTTATGTAGTTACATTGATATTCAAAGTAAAGATATTTCTCCAAACCAGGACAAATATTTGAAGGGAAATGATTATCATCAACAGTTACATTACATTTTCTTTCACCATCACAGTAATTTTTAAGGTCACATGTTACATCGACACTACAACTGTGGTTATAACTGTAGCCACAAATGCTTCCGTTTCTCAATCCACGATATTCTGCAACTTTTATCACCATATATTGATTATTAGAACAACTAACGTCCGATATATTTTTTCCATCACATGTTACTGAGCCTATTAAAGACACACAAAAAATAAGTAAATTCATATCTATATATGCTTATCTTTAAATCCTGTAAAATAAAAGTTGATTTGATAAAAATGAAGATTGTGATGTCAGTGACTTCACTGGCGCCATTCCTATATCTGCGGCCTTGCAGTGGTTTTTAATCAGAGTTTTAGTATATATACGCTAAAACTGGATGAATATTCCAACTTGCCAAAATTGAATCGTTGATTTCCTTCTTTTTTACAATTAGCCAGTCGCAAGGAGAAATTATCATCTGAAGCAACTATGCATTTATTATAGCGTGAAAAGAATAGACCACCCCAATTTGTTTGGGTTATGGTATTGATGGCTCCGCATTCTCCATTAAAATTTCCATAAGATAACACCACATAACTTCCGTATCTCACAAGACACCTTGTTGTATTCGACATATTGATGGAGCCAGATTGTAAAAATTTAAAATAAGATGACCCCTCAAAACAATTCTTTGTATACAGGTCAGGAGAGGGTAAATGATCAGTAACACACCATCCTGACTGAACATGTTTGATGAAAAATCCATTCATATCTGAAAAAGGACAATGATGCATGATAAAAGTGATTGAAAATACCACACTCTACAAAATATATATATAAAAATAATATGACTTTATGAAAAATAATTTAGCATACTGAATTCTATCAATATAGGAAAAAACACTCCAAAAAAAAGTCATCTTGAAATTCAACCTTTCTAAAGAATTAAATAAACCAATTGCTGTTGAGGGTCATTTTAAAAATAATGGCGTATGAAACAATTTAAGGCATCCAGCATGGAGCATTGAACTAAAATACATGGAACGCTACCTGTAATACAAAACCCTAATAATTTTTAAAAGCCGTGATTTTACCCCAGACAAGCAAAACTTCACCCCAGACACGAGTGTGTAGTCGATCAATTTTTACTCCACGAGAGGAACTCGAAACACTAAACGCGCGTGTCTTGGGTAAAATCTCGTGTGTGTAGCTTAAAATATGGTTGAATTATATACTTGATGTAGTGTTCCATGTATTTTAGTTCAATGGCATGGAGACTGAAAAATTTTACAAACAAGTTGAAAAGTGTAAAAAATCAATTAATAAAATTTCACGGCGCACGGTCTGTTACGATGGAAAAGGAGAGTTATGGTTTGTTTACGCAATTGAAATATTTGAAATATTTTAAGATTGTTTGCTGAACCTGATTTTTCATCTGTATAAACTCCCATGACTTTCGTTTTGATGAAAAGGAAGTTTATCTAAACACTTATACAAATTTGTGCCCAGAAAAAGTTGATGATTTAGGTTAGTATTATTCAAACTTGAAGACAAGGAATATATAATTCAATGTAAAACTGAATTGTGAACTCTGTAAGCTGTACACTCTTTTGGTGGAGTTCATTTAAGTTGTGCTGTGAAATAGTGCTCTTGATAATAAGAATACCAGAGTTGCACAATTTAAAATTCCAAACAATTTAAATAAATATCATGCCAGGGCTTATACAAAATCGTGAGGCTTTTTTACGGGTTTATAAAGGTTTATACATGCAGAGGAGAGATGCATACAAATATGTACAGGGATATTATACAGAGGGTTAATATACAACGAAATTTATTTCTACTGAAGTGATATAAGAACATTCTCCCGTTAAAAATATTTAACAATTTTTGGATTAAGTTGAGCATGATATAAAAGAATATTCAGACCGAGGTCAATTGGATATCTACCGAAGCAAATCTGAGGGGGATAGCGCTGACTGCAGTCTGATTGAAAAACTTTTGCGGTTCGCTTTCGTCTATTTCCTGTAAATACGCGATGAAAACTCATAATCATAACATTACCAACAAATATTGTCTTTCAGCGATCATTTTTTAAAGCTGAGGGTGTAACCGCTCTCACACCTCATATATTCATCCCTATTAGCAATTCATGATTTATTTATGGTATAAATTTGGTTTGCAATGCAATGAAATTAGAGAAAAGGTACACGAAATCACTAAGGCAGTTATTTATGGGAATTAAATCGGCTGTATCATAAAACAAAATCTGTATTCATCGTTAAAAATTTTCAGACATTTCACTATACTGAAATTTGCAAAGATCTTGAATCATTACACTTTAGACATCGATAAACTTCCTTATGCTATTGAAAGCAAACACAAACCTGAAGATTTGTGCTTTTGGGGAGTTGCTGCCACTGGACTCGAGTCAGTGGAATAATAATCACCCTGAAACGAAGTGAACATTTATATTTGAATAAAAATTGCAGCAATTAATGCTGATGAAAACGTAAATAAATGGTCGCACCTGATCATTTATGAAAACGCGCTGAAATATTTTGTATTTAGTGCCAGGCTTTAACGGGCCATTATAATAATTTTCACCATTGGAACGCCGTGTTGTGTTTTCACCGTCACCAAGTGTAAAATCAGGCTTAAAGTCTCTGCGAGAGACTACAGCAGCAATATACGGCATTGGTTGTGTGGAAGATATGGCCTTAGAATAAGTCACTAAGTCTGTGTTTTAAAGTTAGAAGGCAATCGACTCTCTTCTGTGACATTTTTCATCGCGACTACATAGAAATATCTGCAAATTTAAGGCAAAACAATTTTTAAAATACATGCATAACCTCTGCTTTTGTTAATGGTTAAAATATATGTTATGCATGCATCCGCAATGCCAAAGAAAAGCGACGAGTCATCAAAGCTTTCCCCAGAGAGATATTTAGACTACCTCGATCCCACATGAAACCAACTGTCCTATACTTAGCCATGAATCCGATAAACTCAAAAAATACTTTTAAGTTCCTTTAAGTTTTTTCTACAATAATTTGCTCTAGTAAAATACATAGTTACCGATATTCCACATTTGGATTTTGCAACAAATAAGTCAACGTATTTCCAATCTGCTTGGTGGACAGTTCAGGTGCCACTAAATAAATAAACTTGAATAAATTTATCATCTTAAACAAACCTGTGCATAAACCATAGACAACTTACATCCATTTGTAAATACCCATGTAACATTGCTGTAACATCCAGATCCCACTATTGTAGAAGCTAAAACACGAACATAATATTTTGTCCCTGGTTTCACATTATTTATGTCCAAACGCTGTTCCTCGATCATATACTTCATTGAACAGGTTTCATTCTCCAAATGTGTAATACAAACAGTGTAACTGACTATCTTTCCATTTGTTTTCTTCTTGTCTGGTGGCTCCCACGTAACTGATAACGATGAACTGCTTAAGGCGACAATTTGAACATTTAAAGGTGGACCTTCGGGAACTAAACAAAATAAAACATTTGTTTTAAAGATTTATATAAAATATTAAATACACTTTAGAAAGAAGTCCTAACAAGTGTACACTGTCATTGTTAACTTAAATATAATACAGTATAAAAAACATGATTGAAATAAATATCGACCAGAAAAGATTTGAGCTTTCAAAAGTCGTCTATGGCAATAACACCATCAATGCAACAACAGCCGATATGTATACACAAAACTGATATGAACTCACCATCTTCAGCAGTTCTAAAAGTAGCTGTAGTTGATCTACCAAAGCCTTCAGAATTGCCAGCGGTTACATTAACTTTATACGTTGCGTAAGGAACAAGATTCGTAATGTTGTACGGTTTTTTGTCAGTTACCTCCAGAGTTTTATCAAAACAATCATAGTATCCTTCAGCAAAATCAATAGATATCTTGTAAGAGGATTCGAGATATTTGTACCAAGTTTTACACCAGTTTTTGGGATGTTTCCATGATATCTCGAGGTACGTCGATGCAGATTTGGTTGCAATGAGATCTGTTGGTTTGTCTGGGAGTAAGTCTGCACGATAAAGAAAAATCTACAAATTGAACCATTTGTAGCCCCTAAGTGAAATAAGTGTTCTGCTTTTTCTCCAATAACACGTGTTAAACTTAACTGCATGTTGAAAAGGCTTGTTTCAATAAGTTTATTTCAACAGAGAAAGAAACTAACACTTCAGCCTTCATGGAAAATTGTTCTGTTTTGTCAACTAACTCATGTTTAATTAATACTCAGAGAAAAAAACTTTATATATTGAAAAATTAAGTGCTTACAGTGCAAAGTAAACCTTGTATATTTTTCTACCTCTTACCTCCACCACAAATTTCAATTCGTAAACACGGTGCACCAACAAATTTCAATGGAAAGATTCGCAAAGCTTTGGATTTAAGGCCACCAGAAAACTTTTCTACAGCCGCATCATTGTTTTCTAGATAAATCTGGAATAAAACAAAAATTGATTTTCGTGTATTTGCAGAGCAAGGTTAGAGAAAAGAAAGGTTTGTTTAACGCTGTCCAGAGGAGAGTAGTTTATGCATTGTCTATGTATCTCTTCAAATCATGCACATAGCTACAATTTAAACTTTATAATCAAATGCAAGAGTCCTTCGTAGTGCAGGAGTAACCAAGACAATCAACACAGTGACGTAGCTAGCCCACAAATTTGGTCGTGCTATATGTAAATTTCTCAGAGCTCACTAACTGTAAAAACAATAGATCTCTAAAGAAATGAATAATGATAATGATCTGAAATTTACATAGAACCAGAAATTTTGCGTGCCGGCTACACCACTGAATCAACATCTGCACACAAGTTTGTATATAAATAGCAATTTAAAAGTTTACTTAGTTTATAACTTCATTCCTATTTTAAAATCCCTTTAAATTTATAATATACAAATTCGATAAGTCTATGTTACCTTCTGGGATTTTTCAGATTTCCAGTTCACACCATCAATGTTTGTCTGCAAGTGATATTTAGTTATAAAGCTTGAACTTGAACTGTCTCCAAAGATAGTGATAACGTTAACTGTATAAAGACTCGGAAAATTCAGTTGAAGGTAATGATTACTATTAGCAGCAGGAGCACACCATGAACTACCACTGGATATTCTTGCTTTAGCAGCACTACGACTCTTTGGGAAGGCAGTAAACCAAGAATCTGGGAATTTTTCTGCGTTTTTTAATAGAGGATTATCACAAACATGACCTTAAATAGAAAAGTATTTGGTTGAAATGCATTATAACATTAGAACTGGTTTGATTTGATAGAGAGCAATGGTGCACTCTCATATTGTTCTCCATTCACGTAAAATTTGAAAAATCAAAAACTGTTTTCTTAAGAAAGAAAAAGAGCACAAGATATATTGGAGGAATACGACTGATTTTACATGCTTTCATTAAATAAGGTTAAATTCCAGTTGGAATCAAGCCAGCTATGACAAGAAAACGTAAGTATCTTGTCAAATAACAACAATACCGTAGCGATTTAAATTCCATTAAAGAGTGAACGTCAATCGTATTGCAGAGGAATGACAATTGGAAATTTTTTGAAGCACGAAATGAAGTAGCAAGAGTAAAATTAATTTAATCCTCAGTATTCACAGCAAACCTGTTTTAATTATTTATTATTTAAGAGTAGCAATCGTTTATATTTTGTGATGCTATATTTCTTTTGTTATGTAAAAGAAGAATTGTGAAATTCTCCAAGTCAGCGTAAAATACAGTGACACTACGATGTCAGATGTAAGTCTTGATGATAGAGGTAAGTCATGATGCTTAACAATAGACAGATGTAAGTTGAAAAGACAAAAGTAACACATTCATAACAAATAATCGTCTTCATTTGATGCAAAAGACCTTTGTTGCAAATGGTGAAGTTTCAAAACTTGGTAATAACATTCACGACACCTTCGCTTTGGAAGATTCGACTTAGACAGGCGTACATCCATAACTACACAAATCAAAATTATTTTTCCTTTAATTGTGATTATGGCGCATATCTTAAAGTGAAGTCTGTGTTTTTAGAAGTGGTTTTATGAACATAAATATGACAAATCTCGTCCATGAATAAAATATATGCAAGGAGTATGAATATCAGAAGAACACAGAAGGTGACATTAACTTAAAAAAAAATTTAGTTTAAAAGCACTTAACCAGAAATGTTTTCCTCATTCTGATGGACACAGTATCTTATAGATTTACACTTAAAGTTGGTAAGCACTGTTTTGATTTTAATCTTTAAGTTGAAAATGAACTACAGGCAAATAAGTTGAACTGAGAACTTTTCTCTTGTGTTGTAAACACGAATCACAACAAAATGTGTCTAAGTGATTATGTGAATCATTAATGAAACCAGAACAAATACCGTTTTTTATAGGTGAGCGCTGCGTTTAGCTTCCCAATACATAGGAATTGTAATGAATCTATCTGTATATATATACAGTATATGTAAAAATTCTGTAGTGTGAAGTCATGAAAATATGAATACAAATGCAATTGTAAATGTCACTTTTGGCCTACATAGAATGGCCAAAAGATTTTAAAAAAGAAATAGATTTGATAAATCAAATTGACTGGAAGAAGATATGTTTCCATGAACAATGTTTGCATTAACAAACTAAAAACACAAAATTCACCAAACCATTAAACTTATGAAAAATATTTAGGACACAAGTTTAAATGTCACATTATAAAAGACACTAAATTATACAATACGAGATAAAACTGCATAAACAAACCACGCCTGGTGAAGACACCCGACGAAAATTCAAATTTGTGTCAACTTTTCTAAATTGATAACGTACATAGTATAAAAATGAGCACCATACCATTGCGCATTAAGGTCAAAATTTGTCCCGAAGCTCTTTAATAATAAGCAAAATATAATCTGCCCATATAATACTTACGATTGCAAATTTTTCTGTATGGCATACTTGTGTAGTTACATTGATATTCAAAGTAAAGATATTTCTCCAAACCAGGACAAATATTTGAAGGGAAATGATTATCATCAACAGTTACATTACATTTTCTTTCACCATCACAGTAATTTTTAAGGTCACATGTTACATCGACACTACAACTGTGATCAAAACTTGAGCCACAAATGCTTCCGTTTCTCAATCCACGATATTCTGCAAATTTTATCACCATATATTGATTATTAGAACAACTAACGTCCGATATATTTTTTCCAGCACATGTCACTGATCCTATAGAAGACACACAAAAAATAAGTAAATTCCAATCTATACAAGCTTATCTTTAAATTCCTATAAAATAAAAGTTGATTTGATAAAAATAAAGTGCGTGATGGCAGTGATGGCGCCATTCCTATATCTGTGGCCTTGCAGTGGTTTTTAGGTAGAGTTTAAGTATATATACGCTAACTGGATGAATATTCTAACTTGCCAAAATTGAATCGCTGATCTTCTTCATTTTTACAATTAACCAGTCTTACGCGGAAATAAACTTCTGTAGCTACTATGCATTTGTTATTGCGTGAAAAGAATAGACCACCCCAAAATGTCTGGGTTATGGCATTGATGGCTCCGTATTCTCCATTAAAATTTCCATCAGATTACCTTATACCTGTATCTCACAAGACACCTTGTTGTATTCGACCTATTGATGGAGCCAGATTGTAAAATTTAAATAAGCTGACTCTTCAAAACAATTCCATGTATACAGGAAGTGTAAATGATCCCGAACACACTTTCCTGACTGATACCATTGCGCATTAAGGTCAAAACTTGTCCCGAAGCTCTTTAATAATAAGCAAAATATAATCTGCAAATATAATACTTACGATTGCAAATTTTTCTGTATGGCATACTTGTGTAGTTACATTGATATTCAAAGTAAAGATATTTCTCCAACCCAGGACAAATATTTGAAGGGAAATGATTATCATCAACAGTTACATTACATTTTCTTTCACCATCACAGTAATTTTTAAGGTCACATGTTACATCGACACTACAATTGTAATCAAAACTTGAGCCACAAATGCTTCCGTTTCTCAATCCACGATATTCTGCAACTTTTATCACCATATATTGATTATTAGAACAACTAACGTCCGATATATTTTTTCCATCACATGTTACTGAGCCTATTAAAGACACACAAAAAATAAGTAAATTCATATCTATACAAGCTTATTTGTCAATTCTTGTAAAATAAATATTGATTTGATAAAAATGAAGTGTGTGATGGCAGTGACTTCACTGGCGCCATTCCTATATCTGTGGCCTTGCAGTGGCTTTTAATTAGAGTTTAAGTATATATACGCTAACTGGATGAATATTCTCACGAAATTGAATCCTGTCTTTTCTTTCACCTAATTATCTTCTGAAGCAACTATGCATTTATTATAGCGTGAATAGAATAGACCACCCCAATTTGTCTGGGTTATGGTATTGATGGCTCCGCATTCTGCATTAAAATTTCCATGAGATAAGTCTACATAAAATCCGTAACTCATAAGACACCTTGTTGTATTCAACCTATTGATGGAGCCAGATTGTAAAAATTTGAAATAAGCTGACTCCTCAAAACAATACATTGTATGCAGTAAGGTAAGGGGTACACTATCCACAACACACTTTCCTGACTGAACATGTTTGATGAAAAATCCATTCATATCTGAAAAAGGACAATGATACATGATAAAATTGATTGAAAATACCACACTCTACAAAATATATATATAAAAATAATATGACTTCATGAAAAATAATTTAGCATTCTGAATTCTATCAATATAGGAAAAAACATTCCAAAAAAAAGTCATCTTGAAATTCAACGTTTCTAAAGAATTAAATAAACCAATTGCTGTTGAGGGTCATTTTAAAAATAATGGCGTATGCAACAATTTAAGGCATCCAGCATGGAGCATTGAGCTGAAATACATGGAACGCTACCTGTAATACAAAACCCTAATAATTTTTAAAGCCGTCATTTTACCCCAGACACGCAAGACTTTACCCCAGACACGAGTGTGTAGTCAATCAATTTTTACTCCGCGAGAGGAACTCGAAACACTAAACGCGCGTGTCTTGGGTAAAATCTCGCGTGTAGCGTAAAATATGGTTCAATTATATGCTTGATGTAGCGTTCCATGTATTTTAGTTCAATGGCATGGAGACTGAAAAATTTTACAAACAAGTTGAAAAGTGTAAAAAATCAATTAATAAAAATTTCACGGCGCACGGTCTGTTACGATGGAAAAGGGAGAGTTATGGTTTGTTTACGCAATTGAAATATTTGAAATATTTTAAGATTGTTTGCTGAACCTGATTTTTCATCTGTATAAACTCCCATGACTTTCGTTTTTATTGAAAAGGAATTTATCTAAACACTTATACAAATTTGTGCCCAGAAAAAGTTGATGATTTAGGTTAGTATTATTCAAACTTGAAGACAAGGAATATATAATTCAATGTAAAACTGAATTGTGAACTCTGTAAGCTGTACACTCTTTTTGGTGGAGTTCATTTAAGTTGTGCTGTGAAATAGTGCTCTTGATAATAAGAATACCAGAGTTGCACAATTTAAAATTCAAAACAATTTAAATAAATATCATGCTAGGGGTTCTACAAAATCGTGAGGCTTTTTTACGGGTTTATAAAGGTTTATACATGCAGAAGAGAGATGCATACAAATATGTACAGGGATATTATACAGAGGGTTAATATACAACGAAATTTATTTCTATTGAAGTGATATAAGAACATTCTCCCGTTAAAAATATTTAACAATTTTTGGATTAAGTTGAGCATGATATAAAAGAATATTCAGACCGAGGTCAATTGGATATCTACCGAAGCAAACCTGAGGGGGATAGCGCTGACTGCAGTCTGATTGAAAATTTTTGCGGTTCGCTTTCGTCTATTTCCTGTAAATACGCGATGAAAACTCTCTGGACAAATAGTTTAACACTTTCGGTGTTTTTTCCTCTATATTCCCGATAATTTGAGCAGAGTAAAACATTTGAAAGTCTCGATGAAGATTCTACAAAAATATTTCTTGTATATACAGTTGTCTCATAAAGACAATTCGTCACCTACAGGTAATTTTCAATGTTTTTCTAGGTGATAGTGTATTGACAATTATTTGAAGGCTTTTAGACAATCACAATCGAGATTGCATCACCGTTGTATTATAATAATAAAGCTTAACTAGCACAGATCAATATATGAGCATCTTAACCCTAACCCTCACACCCATTAACAAACAACCAAAATCTTCCAACGTGATCGTTAATGAATAAAATCAATAAACCCGAAAACAACCAAGACACGCTCTTGAATTGAGCTTTTACTCTTTTACAGGTTTACATTATAATACATGTATGACGAATTAAACATGCTTGGCTATTCCGGGGTGTATTCTATTAGCTTTGCAACTGCAAAGAAATTCACTAAAGAGTATACGTACATGATGAATTAAATATAGGTCAAAGTGTAGTATGGATTTGAGCGAAGTTGAATATGAAGCATTATAATCACATTGGTGTACTATAAATTAAACTGACACAGGAGAAACTAAAATGAACTGCCCTTGCATGTACCTTGTTTTTGGTTCACGTTGATGACAACATAACAAGTGTGATTTTTTCCACCGTATAAAACATACTTGTAAGGGTATTTGTATTTTCGGATTCCAAAGCTATCATAACGTATACGATATGGCGGCTGTTCTACTCTTTCATTTATGAACTTATGTGAACACGTGAAATTTTCTGGTTCTTTCCTTTTTTCGGATATTGCTTTTCGTATAAGACGATGATAACGAATACTGACGTGTGACACAAAAGTAAAGTTTAAAATAATCGGGCTGCATCCACATGTCCCTAACAAAAAATTAAGTTATCTTTAACTGGTTGTCCAGAGTAAAAGAACAAGTAGAAAGTGACACTCATTTGGCCACAAAATGTTACATACTATTCACATTGAATCAAAAGTCCTCCTTAAACCCAAATAGACAATATCTATACAGACTATATCATATAACAGCATATATTACTATTTTTGACTCTACTGTCATATTACTTTGCTTTTGTAACTAGACAGAGGAACAATGAACGAGATATTATTCTGCGTCAAGGCTGTGAAGCTAGTGTATCCAAATCAGTTGAGTACTTTAACATGTACCTTACGGGTTCAAACCATTTACTTTAGGTACCTTACTTTATTGCACTTTCTAAGAACACGGTTTCAATTACATATTTAAATTAAACAGTACCTCAGTAATATAAGTGTTGTGATTGTTTGCCAAGTACATGGCCAGTTGATGTTCTGTACTTACTGTAAACTGAACTGTTGTTTACTTTACCTTCAAGAGGACATATTTCACTAAACATTTTAAATCGCTCCAAAAGATATTTCTTCTCCTCAACACAACAACGTGTACGAGTATTGTTGCATTTCGAATCGATTTCAATTTTGTCCGCCACAAATTTCTTCCATTCTTCCTCACAAAACTCAAGTTCTTCATTCCAACCCATTTTCATTGTGAATCCTTGACCAAATAACAGCCACAATAACCACCATATCATTAAACTCATCATTGCATAGATCCAAGGATATACAGTAAAGCTCTAAATTATAATTGATTGTTGGATGTATGTACGTTATCACAGAAGACTTTAAATTTATATTTAGATCGACAATGACTACGTCACAATTACATCTGTGATGCAAGCAGATCACGATCAAAACGTATTTTTGAGCAATATATGAGCATTATCTAAAAAAGTCATTTCAGCAAAATTGTGTAGCGAGAAAAACTGTTCAGAAATAGATCGAGTTAGTCTCATATGGCTGCATGATGGCTCTCTTATTGGTAGCCACTGTAGCTATTATATAGGTACGTGGTTATAATTTTCTTAAAATAATGAAACTTGGTTAACTTTAAATTTATGCTTTATTCTTCTTACTCGGTTCAGTCTAAATTTCAACTTCTTGTGTTTCAAGAGATTTATTGAACGATGAAAAAATGCTTTTTAGTGGATAGCGCTAAGGAAGTGAAGAAAGCGAGATCAAATTAAAATCAAAGCAAATCATTTATTTTAGATACAATAGATTAAAAACCCAAGACGATGTTAAAATTCTTTATCTGAATATGAAAATAACAATTGTGCATGCAGAGCTTCCCATTAGCTATTTCATTTCAATTTCCTGTTATGTCATGATACAAAACCTATGAAATCATAAAGTACTTTACAATTTCTTGTAACGCAGCCTCTATAGCTGTATAGTTATACCCGTATTGTCTCTAATGCTATACCCGTATTGGATTTTCATTCGAATTTTTAATTCATCGAATTCAACACATTAGCAGGTATAAAACAGCTAAATTGCTCAGTTGACAAATTCAAAAGTTACAGTTGAAAAATTAACTAAATAAATTAAAATTTCAAAAGATAATGACCAAAAATAATGTTGAAAGGGTGTTAGATATTTACATTACATGCACCGCGGAGCTTTTTCTATTGAGGAGGGAAGAGCTTACGAAATAAACGAACGTCGATATTAAGGGCAGCTAAGTAGTTTTGGGTTTCAGCGTTATCTTGAGATTGCTCAAATTCTTTTATAAAATTTACAGAAATATCACAGAAAATCGTAGAAATGTTGTGCAACTTTTACATTTTTCAAGCTTATTCCTTTGCTTGCAGTTATTTGTGGAGTACTTGATGACAATGAATACTCCATAAGAATTGAAAATCTTAAGGGATTTCTTTTAATTTTTCGCAGGTTCCGCTAAAGAACAAAATTTTTACAAAACAGTGGAATAGGATTTGCTTTTGAGGTAGTTGAGAGATTTGAGCAAAAATATGATAGTATATAAATATATGAATCAAAACATTAATGTGATAACCTGTCCCAAATCCTACATCTAGCGTGGAGGTATTGTGGTAAATGAAAAATCTCTCCATTTACTATAAGAATCAAATCATTTGGGGGCGTAAGTTGTGTGGTGTTTGTATTAACACTTATTTGCCAAACTCAGTCGAAGAAAAATTTGCAGTATTAAATAATATAAATAAGATAAGGAAACTTCCGTTTTACTATCAACTACATCACATCTTACCTTTGTTTTTATTAATTGAAAACGGACACAATAAGGCGACTGCAGATATACACCTTAAACAAACAGAGAAAAATTAAGATACATACAAGTCAGACGAACAACAGAGTTGTGGCTTTCGCAACGTTTTACTTGCAACTGCTGGCCAAGGCTGTCGGCTTCCTCAAATGTACAGTGCCATATTGAGTATATACAAACACTCATGCCATCTGCCCCAGTTATTCAACATTTTATAGAATTTGTTTTGCGTCAAATCCTATCCTTTACGAATCAACAATAATACTTTAAATGTTTGGAAATTTGGATGTTGTTGTTGGTTGACAAAGCAATGTTATAGAACATAGAGTTTTGACATTTTAGAGAATTACCTCTGTTTATAGCTACGAAGCAACGAAGCACAAATAATGCATCTAATGTGGGCAAACACGGCAAAGCAGGTTAATGACTTCAAGTGCTCAATGACGAAAAATTATATTGTTACAATATAAAACGTATTTTAAGTTTTGACTATCAACTTTACCAACAGTAAATTCAATTTTGCTGACAGTCATTAGCAAAATTTTAGGCCCTAAATACAACAAATTGTGTCGGACCGAACTATACAGTAAAATTTACATCGTAATACCAGCTGTAACTTTATTGCCTACAGGTGTTTGTTTAAACAATAGACACAATACGACAGCAGCGAAAATACAGTGAGAAATGACAAGAAAAACATCGCTTCAAGAATAATGACTTATGAATGAAAAATGGTTTAAGTGATTGGGTTCAGCGGTAAAGAATTAAGAACAACAATTTAACATTTCAATATTAATTTTAATTTGGTAAAAAACAAACTTCTAGTTGATGCATTGGACAGCCACTCTGTTGGATATTATCAAAGTCTACTACAACAAGCAAGGATCATTTCAATTTAGGCAATTTTCACAATTTTCTTCGTAACTTAGCTATGTTAATTAGCTGTAAAGTGTTGTTGTTAAGCCTACGTTTTGATGTGAACAGGTGGAAGGAAAAGCATGTAGAAACACATAAATTTTGAAATACCAAATTAAAATTAGTTGTATTATAAGGCCTTTACTAATTGGGAACTCTTTAAAGAGAAATATCGGATCATTTAATTCTTTATGTGCAGACCTCGCAGGCTCGAAGAGCGAATAAACAAGTTAATAAAAGGTTTATTATAAAGTTATATTTAAACTGCAACGAGGCCTTTCTTTACTTTTTTGTCCTCGCTGTTTTGTAAAAGTTGGCATTCTGTCCTGTTTTCTTTTTGTTTTCAAATTTTTTGCTGTTTGTTTTTCGAAATTTGTTTAGATTTGTTTGTAAAATTACCTGTTATGAACCGCTGGTTTGAATTGTTATAGATCTGAGAGACTGTATATGGTCATTGTCAACATTAAGTCATTAACAACATTTAACTATGTAATAACATGGTGGCCTCTTGTTATCACAGGGACGTTTACTGACATATTTCCTCATCAAAGTATTCAATAGGGACGTTTAGACTAAATATCCTCATCAACAATGAAACAATACGCCTATTCCTGGATTGCATACAATTTCCACGGAATTATGAAAAAAATTGACTCAATTCTGATCTATGAAAACGTTTAATAGTTGATGTCTTTAGCCTTTGAAAACCACAATACTTCGAGGGAAGGCCGGCATCATGTAAGCTGCTAAACTCAGTCAAAGAAAAAATTTGCTGTATATTAAATGCTAACAAAGCAACGAGGATAAACAAACATTCGTTTTACCATCAACTGTAGCCAACGAAATTTATTACATCTTACCTTTTGTTCTTTTATTGTCTTTACGTCTTTGTTTGAAAAACGCACACAAAAAGGCAACTGCAGAAATACGCCTTAAACAAACAGAGAAAGTGAATATTCGTACAAGTATGGTAAACAATAGAGTTGTGGTTTTCGCAAAGTTTTACTTGTAAGTGCTGGCCAAAGCTGTTTCCTCAAGTGTGGAGTAGCGTGTATTGAGAATATATAAACATGCACTTATGCCGACTGCCACAATTATTTATCATTTTATTGAATTTTGTTTTGCCTCAAATCCTACCCTTTACGAATCAACAATAATACTTTAAATGTGTTAGAAAATTTGGAAACAAAGAAAAATTAAGATACATACATTGGTTGACGAAGCAATGTTATAGAAGATAAGTTTTTGATATTTTACCTCTGTTTAGACAAAGCGCCGAAGCAAAATTAATGCATCTAAACTGGGTGAACACGGCAAAACAGGTTAATGACTTCAAGTGCTAAATGACATAAAATGATATTGTTCCCATTGCGTATTTTAAGTTCTTAAATATCAACTTTGTTAACACTAAATTTAATTTTTGCTAACATTCATTGGTAAAAAATTGTAACCGCAAATACACCAATTTATGTCGAACCGAACTATACAGTAAAATTTACAACATGAAACCAGCTTTTTATTTCTTACAACTTTGTTCACAAGACGACAGCACAAATACAATGAGAAATGCAAAAAATAATGCATCAAGAATAATGACTTATGAATGAAAAATGGTTTAAGTGATTGGGTTCAGCGGTAAAGAATTAAGAACAACAATTTAACATTTCAATATTAATTTTAATTTGGTAAAACAAACTTCTAGTTGATGCATTGGACAGCCACTCTGTTGGATATTATCAAAGTCTACTACAAGCAAGGATCATTTCAATTTAGGCAATTTTCACAATTTTCTTCGTAACTTAGCTATGTTAATTAGCTGTAAAGTGTTGTTGTTAAGCCTACGTTTTGATGTGAACAGGTGGAAGGAAAAGCATGTAGAAACACATAAATTTTAAAACCGTATTAAAGTTAGTTGTATAATAAGTCCTTTAGCAATCGCGAATTCTTTAAAGAGAAATTCGGATCATTTAATTCTTTATGTGCAGACCTCGCAGGCTCGAAGAGCGAATAAACAAGTTAATAAAAGGTTTATTATAAAGTATTATTTAAACTGAAACGAAGCCTTTCTTTACTTTTTGTCCTCGCTGTTTTGTAAAAGTTGGCATTCTCTCCTGTTTTCTTTTGTTTTCAAATTTTTTGCTGTTTGTTTTTCGAAATTTGTTTAGATTTGTTTGTAAAATTACCTGTTATGAACCGCTGGTTTGAATTGTTATAGATCTGAGAGACTGTATATGGTCATTGTCAACATTAAGTCATTAACAACATTTAACTATGTAATAACATGGTGGCCTCTTGTTATCACAGGGACGTTTACTGACGTATTTTCTCATCAAAATATTCATTAGGGACGTTTAGAGTAAATATTCCTCATCAATAATAAAACAATTCTGAAGTGAACAGGTGCACAGAAACACGTAGAAAAACATAAAATAAAACTCAACATCCGCTGCATTATAGGGCCGTATTTAACAAATCGGAAGGTTGGGTAGCATTGCATGCTTAATAGGATGTTATGAGAAATAATCATATTTACATAAGGTGTTAGAATACAAAATGAGACGGTGTCAAATAGATTATATAAATTACGAAGTTAGGAAGCAAAATATAGTGAAATTAAAAGAGTTGAATAGAACTGCCTTGGACAGATGTTAAGTCATAGTAAAGGAAACATACCAAAGGTCCACTTTGCTGAGAAACTTTCTGCTGTACATATAATTAGATAACAGACTGCCGTTAGCCAGCTCAGCACTCCTATTACTCAAAAAGTCAATTTACTAGCTTCCAATATAGTAATCATACGCGCAATGAGATATACGTAGCACAAAAATTCAATGGACTTGCTCTACTGTATTTTTACTATACTGTCGATAAGTGAAGACTTGTAGCTATTGATATGAGGTTCTCATTAAGGGAGAGTTTGTATGAATCGTGAGAAGAGGAAATTCTTTCAAAGTCGTCCATGTTGGGGTATCTCCAGATATGTTTATGTTAGCAAAATGCTCGATAACGCAAGGCGTGACGTTTGGTTACCTTCAAATGGATATATTCTCATATGCTACGAAAATCCGATGTGTAAATGACGTTGATTTGACCCACATACAATACGTACAGCTAACACTTTAATGAACACACAACATCCAATCTCTGAGGTTTGAGATTTTTCCTAAAGGGGAAGAAAGAAAATAGACGTTAAGAAAGGTGGAAAAAGTTTGGTACCGACTACCTAGATCAATCTTTCGGTGGGTGTTCCTGCCAGTGTTGAAAAACAAGGAGAGGGCTGACAAAAACTATAAGAGAGGATATGTTTTTCGATCACATGAATTTTTCTTGTTTTGTAAAATCTTGTGTCGTTGCTTCCAACCCATTTCTTCTTTTTTGTTGATCTCTAGTCTACAGCAAAACACAATGCTCCTAGCACTCTTGCAATCAAATCATCAGAAAATTCAATTAATTCGATAATTTTGGATGATTTTATAATGAATATTATAATGGGGATAATAAGCGAAAATAGGAAAGGACAAGAACAGCAACATTTTACTACCACTAACATAGTTGGTAAGAAAGTAAACTCCATCCACTAAAACTTCTTGTTTCTTACGTCAGGTAAATTAATGAGATGACAGTGTGTACATATTCATACATATTCCACTGACTCCAAAATTATGAATGTATGAAAATTCCTTCCCCCCAAGAAAAATAAATTACTGAGCATGCTACGCCACTGTTTGTTTGTAATTTAACTTTATTTCTTATTTAATGTATTTAGATAAAAAGTATTACAGCCGTTATCCTATTTCAAATATTGACTTCATCCTTATTCTAAAAATTTGATGTTATGTTCCAAATTGTTTTCAAATACTGTTCAGAATCATTCACTCTCGTTCACTCTTATAGTTAAAAAGGAAATAAATTTTATGTTTAATTATATTCTTTTATAGTACGCTAAATTTCAGAAAACGCCTAATAATTTCTCGAAAAATTCAACTTCCTATATTTTGAGAAATTTTAGTACGTCAAATGATCATAGTGAAGCCTACAGCGAAGATTGTCAATACTCTGGTTATACGGTTGATAAACTATGGTGACTATATGATTGGTTGATACACTATGGTGACTATATGATTGGTTGATACACTATGGTGACTATATGATTGGTTGATACACTATGGTGACTATATGATTGGTTGATACACTATGGTGACTATATGATTGGTTGATACACTATGGTGACTATATGATTGGTTGATACACTATGGTGACTATATGATTGGTTGATACACTATGGTGACTATATGATTGGTTGATACACTATGGTGACTATATGATTGGTTGATACACTATGGTGACTATATGATTGGTTGATACACTATGGTGACTATATGATTGGTTGATACACTATGGTGACTATATGATTGGTTGATACACTATGGTGACTATATGATTGGTTGATACACTATGGTGACTATATGATTGGTTGATACACTATGGTGACTATATGATTGGTTGATACACTATGGTGACTATATGATTGGTTGATACACTATGGTGACTATATGATTGGTTGATACACTATGGTGACTATATGATTGGTTGATACACTATGGTGACTATATGATTGGTTGATACACTATGGTGACTATATGATTGGTTGATACACTATGGTGACTATATGATTGGTTGATACACTATGGTGACTATATGATTGGTTGATACACTATGGTGACTATATGATTGGTTGATACACTATGGTGACTATATGATTGGTTGATACACTATGGTGACTATATGATTGGTTGATACACTATGGTGACTATATGATTGGTTGATACACTATGGTGACTATATGATTGGTTGATACACTATGGTGACTATATGATTGGTTGATACACTATGGTGACTATATGATTGGTTGATACACTATGGTGACTATATGATTGGTTGATACACTATGGTGACTATATGATTGGTTGATACACTATGGTGACTATATGATTGGTTGATACACTATGGTGACTATATGATTGGTTGATACACTATGGTGACTATATGATTGGTTGATACACTATGGTGACTATATGATTGGTTGATACACTATGGTGACTATATGATTGGTTGATACACTATGGTGACTATATGATTGGTTGATACACTATGGTGACTATATGATTGGTTGATACACTATGGTGACTATATGATTGGTTGATACACTATGGTGACTATATGATTGGTTGATACACTATGGTGACTATATGATTGGTTGATACACTATGGTGACTATATGATTGGTTGATACACTATGGTGACTATATGATTGGTTGATACACTATGGTGACTATATGATTGGTTGATACACTATGGTGACTATATGATTGGTTGATACACTATGGTGACTATATGATTGGTTGATACACTATGGTGACTATATGATTGGTTGATACACTATGGTGACTATATGATTGGTTGATACACTATGGTGACTATATGATTGGTTGATACACTATGGTGACTATATGATTGGTTGATACACTATGGTGACTATATGATTGGTTGATACACTATGGTGACTATATGATTGGTTGATACACTATGGTGACTATATGATTGGTTGATACACTATGGTGACTATATGATTGGTTGATACACTATGGTGACTATATGATTGGTTGATACACTATGGTGACTATATGATTGGTTGATACACTATGGTGACTATATGATTGGTTGATACACTATGGTGACTATATGATTGGTTGATACACTATGGTGACTATATGATTGGTTGATACACTATGGTGACTATATGATTGGTTGATACACTATGGTGACTATATGATTGGTTGATACACTATGGTGACTATATGATTGGTTGATACACTATGGTGACTATATGATTGGTTGATACACTATGGTGACTATATGATTGGTTGATACACTATGGTGACTATATGATTGGTTGATACACTATGGTGACTATATGATTGGTTGATACACTATGGTGACTATATGATTGGTTGATACACTATGGTGACTATATGATTGGTTGATACACTATGGTGACTATATGATTGGTTGATACACTATGGTGACTATATGATTGGTTGATACACTATGGTGACTATATGATTGGTTGATACACTATGGTGACTATATGATTGGTTGATACACTATGGTGACTATATGATTGGTTGATACACTATGGTGACTATATGATTGGTTGATACACTATGGTGACTATATGATTGGTTGATACACTATGGTGACTATATGATTGGTTGATACACTATGGTGACTATATGATTGGTTGATACACTATGGTGACTATATGATTGGTTGATACACTATGGTGACTATATGATTGGTTGATACACTATGGTGACTATATGATTGGTTGATACACTATGGTGACTATATGATTGGTTGATACACTATGGTGACTATATGATTGGTTGATACACTATGGTGACTATATGATTGGTTGATACACTATGGTGACTATATGATTGGTTGATACACTATGGTGACTATATGATTGGTTGATACACTATGGTGACTATATGATTGGTTGATACACTATGGTGACTATATGATTGGTTGATACACTATGGTGACTATATGATTGGTTGATACACTATGGTGACTATATGATTGGTTGATACACTATGGTGACTATATGATTGGTTGATACACTATGGTGACTATATGATTGGTTGATACACTATGGTGACTATATGATTGGTTGATACACTATGGTGACTATATGATTGGTTGATACACTATGGTGACTATATGATTGGTTGATACACTATGGTGACTATATGATTGGTTGATACACTATGGTGACTATATGATTGGTTGATACACTATGGTGACTATATGATTGGTTGATACACTATGGTGACTATATGATTGGTTGATACACTATGGTGACTATATGATTGGTTGATACACTATGGTGACTATATGATTGGTTGATACACTATGGTGACTATATGATTGGTTGATACACTATGGTGACTATATGATTGGTTGATACACTATGGTGACTATATGATTGGTTGATACACTATGGTGACTATATGATTGGTTGATACACTATGGTGACTATACCTGAGAGTTATGTTTCCCCGTGGTAAGATTCTCACACGAATCGCATTCAGCCTTCCGGACACGTGATCCTGTAAACGAGTTTTAAAGTTGTAGAAATCAGTCAGTCGACAAAAATCTCAAAATGCATCTTTTACGAACCTCGACTACACTGAACTCCACTTCACCGGAAAAGTTGATTTCTTGTTCCTATGGAAAATAAAACAGCAACTGCATCACGACAAGCAATAATTTTGAGACGATCATGCACTAACTGATAAGGCTTTAAATTAAATGATTTGAACCCGGAGTACCTTTGCATGTGTGTAGATGTAGATCGTCCACGTTATGGAAATCTTGAGAAGGATTGTTGTTGATGTTGACTGACGTTTGACAACCTAAGCGGTAGTCATCTTAAGAGTGAAGCCTACAGCGAAGGTTGTCAATACTCTGGTTATACGGCTGACAGTCAACAACAACACCAACAGTCCTTCTCAGAACTTCACCAAGCCTGGACGATCTTCATCTACAAACATTTAACGATACTTTAAACTAATCAGCAAAGCTACTTTCTCCATCGATTTATCTTGACATACTTTCACTGGCACATATCGAGCTTTACGTAGCAAACGATGTTCTAACGTGGTTAGAAGAGGTTGATTTGAAAGGTTTTGCTTACGATTGCCATAATAACAAAACTCACCGCATCAATCAACTCGCTGAAATGAAAGAATAATCTTGTATCCCTATCGCAACATTGAATAAAGCTATAGCCGTCTTTCAAAGCCGAAACAAATCCCTAACAAGGAACAAAAATCATGCATTTAATGTATCTCTATCACAACACTGAATGAAGCCATAGCCGTCTTTCAAAGCCGAAACAAACCCTAACAAGGAACAAAAATTATGCATTTAATGTATCCCTATCACAACACTGAATGAAGCCATAGCCGTCTTTCAAAGCCGAAACAAACCCTAACAAGGAACAAAAATTATGCATTTAATGTATCCCTATCACAACACTGAATGAAGCCATAGCCGTCTTTCAAAGCCGAAACAAACCCTTACCAGGAACAAAAAATTATGCATTTAATGTATCCCTATCACAACACTGAATGAAGCCATAGCCGTCTTTCAAAGCCGAAACAAACCCCTAACAAGGAACAAAAATTATGCATTTAATGTATCCCTATCACAACACTGAATGAAGCCATAGCCGTCTTTCAAAGCCGAAACAAACCCCTAACAAGGAACAAAAATTATGCATTTAATGTATCCCTATCACAACACTGAATGAAGCCATAGCCGTCTTTCAAAGCCGAAACAAACCCCTAACAAGGAACAAAAAATCATGCATTTAATCACATTACACCAACAATAATTTTTAACATAGATCTTTAAGAAGGAAACGAGTTTAAGTCGATTCTGTGCACTATAGTTATACATCGACATTCATAAAATAAAAATGCTCAATGCCAATGCCCATGGAGCACAATGTTAGCGTTGTCGAAAATAAAAGATTCCCAACAAAATACGAGAGATTGAAGACAGTAAAATACTTTGGACAAACCTTTATTTTCAACGATACATTGTGAAAATTTGAATGCTTCGAGAGCAAGTATACCTTTTAGGGAGGTACAACTTGAGGGGAGTAAATTTTTGACGGGGTGGGTGGATAAAATACTCATAGACGAGGAGGGTAAAGGTCAAACCATAACTCAAAGCAATTAACATTTGCCATCACAGTGATAAAGGTAAACAATTTCCCGCTAAATTTGGAGAAATGGCTTCCTCATGACGCAGTCTAAACACTAGCAAATGTAAAGGAGAATTAAAACTTACTCTTTCTCTGACATTGCATCCATTGCTGCTTTCCACTTCCTTGATGAGATGAATTTCCGTTGCTCTTCTTAAAGAATCACGCCGATCTGCACGAAAAGAAGAGAGATGTATCGCTTGACTGAGTGGCTAAAAGATGGAAGCGTGCTTTATATTCCCGATATCACGGGGAAAATTTGTTAATTTCTTTCATTGTATGGACATGTTGCCATATCCAACTGGAAACACTCAAAGGAAAACTATAGTTTGAAAGCTTGGTTATTCTGTAAGGTACATACACGTTTGGTATTTTCTTCAAATGTTCAGACATGCACGTTAAACAAGACACCAAAACATTCAATCAACAATAAGGAGGACAACGAACTAGTTTAAAACAAAATGTTACGTCTAAACATGGTAATGTCTAAGCAAAGGAAGACTAGTTGAAGTTTTAAAGAATTGTCGATGGAGCACCCATTGATACAGTAACAAAGTTATTTTTAACTAAGATTAGATATGACGCTGAAGTAGGGAGTAAAGTAAAACTTCGCATATAAGAGCCTAGATTTTAACAACCAATTAGGCTAATATTTCAGAAGAAAACTTAAACAGATCTAACTTTATTTATACTAGATATCTCTATCAGTCCTAAACTTTTCTTTCTTATGATCCTGTTAAGATCATATCTTGTTGATCCAGTGTTACCACAGAAACAAACCTGAACTAAACCAAGTTTATTTATGTTAGATATCTCTACCAGTTCTAAACTCTTCTTCCTAAAGATCCAGTAAAGATAAGCTCTTATTGATCCAGTGTTACTACAGAAGGAAACCTAAACTAAACTAACTTAGTAATTTAATATTTATATTTTGTGTACGATTCCCGCCTGGTTTATCGATCGTAACTTAATCTATATATACTAGATATCTCGATCAGTCTTAAACTGTTCTTTGCCTAGATCAACAAAATCATCTCTCATTGATCTTGCACATGTTGAAATAATACCAACAGTTACAAAAAACCATATTTACCTTTAGCAATTTTAAAACCAACAACATCCCAAGTCAAGACGGTGAACACCCCCAAGACATCTTTCTCCCAATATGGCAGCTGTGAACTACCATTGCTTGTGTTGTACAATATCACACCATTTAACGGTTCCTGTCTTTTTGTCCGATAATGTACTTCCTCGATGGTGCCTTGAAATGTGTCTTTGCTCACATCATCAAATTTCACTGTACCTTTTGGTAGACGCTCCACTGAGACTGCAACTTCTTTACCTGACAAAATAATTGGCCAAGTTTTTACAAACAAATTTTACGAATTTCCAAAAATAAACTTGTTGCTGTCGTCAGCTATCACAAAAATACGTCAGATGAGTCACGTGACTCGTTTGCAAACCGAAAATTTCCAATCCTACGTCAAATGCCAATCAGAAGTCATCGTGTGTAAAATTACAAATGATCAAATCGTATACATAAGTGAAATAACTGATAAAACTCATTTTGTATTAAACAATAAATTATCAATATTGATCTACAGGGAGAAACTGCAACGGCCCAAACACAAACCTCGTTCACTTTGTCAGCTCTATCGATGAAACCAAACGATTCCTTGAGCGAGCACACAATTCTTTGAACGTAAACAGGAGGCGAAGTTTCGAGCAGCAACAACTCCACGGCACAGCATTGTCCATTTCTATAGAGGTTTATGAACTGTAGCAGTGCAGTGCAGACTTTGATAAAACACCAGCTTGATAATGTGGAAGAAAAAACAATTCCTGAAAGAAAAGGAGCAACGGTTAGAATCATAAAGATCCACCCCCTAACCGTGCAAACCTGTACTATGCAATGATTTTAAACACCACCCCCAGACCGTGCAGACCTGTACTATGCAATGATTTTAAACACCACCCACCAGACCGTGCAGACCTGTACTATGCAATGATTTTAAACATCACCCCCTGACCGTGCAAACCTGTATTATGCAATGATTTTAAACACCAACCCCTGACCGTGCAAACCTGTATTATACATTCATTTTAAAGTCCACCCCTGACCGTGTAGACCTGTATTATGCAATGAACTTAAACTCTACCCCCATGACAGTGCATACCTGTATCATGCAATGATCTTAAACTCCACCCCTGACCGTGTAGACCTGTATATGCAATGATCTTAAACTCATCTCATCTGATCTAATCCTGATCCCATATTGCAGTATAATTTTAACTCATCAAGGGCGAGAATACAGTGGCGCTATAACAGCCTCGATAATTGTGGGGTGGGGAGGTAGTCAATGTTTATGTAGGTATGCATGTCAAAAAGCCTAAAAAATTAATTTAATACGGCAAAATATGCATAGCAAGCTTTCTATGGTGTGGAGGGAACGATCAAAATCCAAAAAAGAAATAACAACGAAAACCTGTTTCAAAAAAGATGAAGGAAATGTCAATAATTTGCAGGCAGTAATCTACAGTTTCCCTTATCGTCACGTCACTAACTTTCTTGCCTGTTTCAATTTTGGGATTTTTGCCCAAAAGCAAATATTTTGCTCACTGGTGTGTTCTGTATTTATTGCCCAATCGATAAATGTTTGATAAAAGATGTTGAGTAAAAAGTCTGATACTTTTTATATTTTACATTAATTCTTTCTCTCAAACCCCAAAAAATGACTTAAGTATTAAAGTTAGCCACGTAAAGATGCATAAAAATGGAAGAAGTTCAAACAGTACTTACTCCGTTCACTTCATAACTAACGCGACCACATTCGGACTCGCCATTGCGAAATAACTGCTACAAAATAATGATGAAACTCTTTGAAAACGACATCACAAACATTCAAAGTACAATAAAACAACAGGAATACGCAACTCAAAAAATTCATACACGACCATTAACAACGAGTAATTTTAAAGCAATATGCATAATGAACAGTGGTGTAGCAAGCACGATAACTGGGGGGAGGGGGTGAGCACACATCCATATATTCCACATATGCATGTCCTGCCGTATTGAGTTCCATTGTGTTCCATGCATAAAGACGTGCATAGATGAATTTGTTATCTACCCCTCCCCATCCCTTAATTAACGCGTTTGCTTCGCCACTGACTATTACATTTTCCCAGCTAATTGATCACGATGAAAATCACCTGTTTGGGGTAGCTGTGTCTCGACAACCTCGCCTCAACTTCCACTTTACCAACAACTCTTTCCTCGCTTTTTTCCTACAAAGGAAACATAAATGGATGATTCACCAAAAGACGATTTCTCAATTTCTCGTAAAACTTTGTAAACCAAACCAGGATGAACGTGCATACACGGCAAGCGTCAAAAAGTACACAAGGTGTCAAGGTCACTTACTTCAAATGTAACAGAGCCTTGTTCCAATTTCACCACTCGACATGCAATTGGTTTACCCTTACGAGAATCTGATGTCACTTCAAACTCCACACAGTCTAAACAAAAAAAGATTTAATCGACTATCAATATCAATCGAAATGTTCTTTACACTTCAGATAATAGACCAGAGCAGTGGCCTTTGCAGTAGCAGTAGAAACAAGGGGATAGGCGGGGTGGGGCGGATGGTGAAGGATTACAGTGTGAAACTCCCCAACAAGTCAATGATCAGTGGTTTGTTCTGACTAGGTAAATAAACAAAAGTTCTGTTTCGTTTTACCCCACAATAAAACAAAGACTATACATGAGTTTGAAAAGTTGTTTTAACTAACACTAACATTTGGACACACATTTTTTGCAGACAGAGTCCTTCAGAATACCCATCACATTCACATTAAAAAGACAGAACAGTGCAAGTTAGAATAGCAAAGAACACCCTCATACAACATCGTGAAGGCACGTGAATGCCACGTGTTGATAACATGAACTGTGGTGGGATTCAGATGGTGGAGATCAAATTTTAAAAGTATACCAACAAAGGCATGCCCTGGAATCTCCATAGAAATCTCATGCCTTGAGGATGAGCTTCCTCTCCCAATATGTCATAAAGTGTCACCACTGATTATGGTAGAGAGTGAAAAGTCATATGAGGAAACCCAATGAATTACTTGACAAAGAATGCTTTTCAAATAATGACTGATGAAACAAATGCTCTGAATAACTGGATAAGCCCACAAAACAGCTTGTTCCCCTTATTAAATAGCAGAAAGGCAACAAGCCTCATACTTGAATGAAATTATATCAACGTTTCAGAAAAACAATATAATACTAATGGTGTAGTTGCACACATAACAAGTAATATAAGAGTCGTTGAAGGGTGAAAATAAGCAAAATTTACAAACCACCAAGTTCCAGTTCACTTGAATGTCCTTTGTACTGACTGTAATGAAAGAACACTTGAAGATCCTGTTCAGCACACTCAATAAAGCCATAACTTTGCTGCAAAATAACATGCATAAATGTTATAGAAGAAAGACTGAATGTGCTTTTAGAGGGGATGAAATTAGGGAATATATATCAATAACATTATGGAAGAAGTCATTAATACACATGTTGATGTCAAAGCACTCATTGCCGGTCAAATGTAGTACAATACAGTCAAATGTAGATGAATGTATTCAAATGTGTTTGAATGTACACAAAAGTAGATGAATGTATTCAAATGTAGTTGAATGTACACAAAAACCATAACTTTTCTGCAAAAAAACATGCATAAATGTTATAGAAGAAAGACTGAATATGCTTTTAGAGGGGATGAAATTAGGGAATATATATCAATAACATTATGGAAGATGTCATTATTACACATGTTGATGTCAAAGCACTCATTGCCTGTCAAATGTAGTTCAATACAGTTAAATGTAGATGAATGTATTCAAATGTGTTTGAATGTACACAAAAGTAGATGAATGTATTCAAATGTAGATGAATGTATTCAAATGTAGTTGAATGTACACAAAAATAGATGAATGTATTCAAATGTACATGAATGTATTCAAATGTGGTTTAATGTACACAAAAGTAGATGAATGTATTCAAATGTAGATGAATGTTTCCAAATGTGGTTGAATGTACACAAAAGTAAATGAATGTATTCAAATGTAGATGAATGTTTTCAAATGTGGTTGAATGTATACAAAAGTGGTTGAATGTATTCAATGTGGTTTAACGTCCTTAAACAGGGTGCAAATTAATATTACACAAATGGGCATGTGAATTTCAGTTGAAGGTATTTTCACAATCTTAGGTTACAAATTGATACAATATCTGTCATGTTGGATTTAAGTGCCTATGTCGAATAATGGGACTTGATATCATTAGAATTATCTTAAAACATAGATTACTGGGGAAACAGTCCAAATGCAAGTTTCAATAAAAAGCTTTTCAAATTGACCAGAACAAAAAATAAGACACCAAACAGTGCAAAACGGTTACAGCTTCCTCTACAAAGGCTATTGAAATCAAAAACATTTTTGGCAAACTTTTAGATATCATGCAAATGCACTTTTAGATGAACAAAGTGACATATTTTTGTGTATTAAGAAACAAGTTTTTGGTCATAGATAAATTTTTACTTCTTCATGGTACATCTTATTTTTATCTTGCAGGAACTTACTCTACAAAAGCAACACCTTTGTAAAATCAGCAGAATCTGCAGCAAACTTTTGCATTTCTCAATGTCACATAATGATTCATGAAAAAATTTAAAATAGTTGAGAAGCATCTTTTTTTGCATTAATTTGGGTCCTTGACCAGTGCATAAAAACTTCATACTAAACTGACTTTGAATTGTTAAAATAACTTACACAAAGTTTTTCAATGACACCTGTTTCCCTGTGTCTTACATGAACACTATTTGAAAGGTAATGGTCACTGATACCATAGTCCTGAGATACATTTGTTCACATAGAATGTTTCTAAGTAGTAAAAAAACATTATAGAATGTTTCTAATTAGTAAGAAAACATTATAGAATGTTTCTAATTAGTAGGAAAACATTATAGAAAGTTTCTAATTAGTAGGAAAACATCATAGAATGTTTCTAATTAGTATGAAAACATTATAGAATGTTTCTAATTAGTATGAAAACATTATAGAATGTTTCTAATTAGTATGAAAACATCATAGAATGTTTCTAATTAGTAGGAAAACATTATAGAATGTTTCTAATTCGTAAGAAAAAATGTTTCTAATTAGTAAGAAAACATTAACAGCAAAATGAAATGAAAATAAAATTTTTCATAAACAAAATGCAGTAGAAAGTACCTTCCATGAGTCTGTTGCCATATTTGATTCACCAAAAAGAGAATTCTATTTGTTACAAAGGATGCCAGCAATTTGAATTATAACTTTTTGCAAAATAATATATATGGTATATGTATAAAAATTCTCCTCTCAATTTTCCTAAATCACCAAATAATATAATCCATTTGCCAAACAAAAAACAGGAAGCACAAATCTGCTGTGAATATTTAAGATTGTTCCGTGTAAGCTATGACTTGCCAATATGAAAGTTTCCTTAACATGGGCTGTGCAAGATCATATGGATTTGGCAGCTTTCTCTATAGAATTTGAATTGGCGTTTCCTCATCTTTTTCTGCTTTGCAGATATTTATTCCTAGCAAATAACCAGAAAAAAGTAATTTAACACATTTCTTTAAATATATCATTTGCTCATCATCTAATATTCGAAGTGAAGAGATTAGAGAAAGAGTTGGTGTTGAGTGTATCGAGAATTGGGTAAGGCGCCAGCGTTTGAGGTGGTTTGGGCATGTGGAAAGGAGGGAAGAAAGTGCTGAAATTCGTAGAACGTTGCATATGAATGTTGATGGAGTACGCAAACGAGGTAGACCGAGAAAGAGATGGATGGATGCTGTGAACAGTGATATGAAGGCGATGGGTATAACGAGAGATATGGCGAGAGATAGAGACGTGTGGCGTGGAAAAATTCATGGACCGGTCAACCCCCCTGGCGGGGATTAATACTGGCCGGTATATAAATGTTGTTTGTTGTTGTTTGTTTTTGTCATCATCTAATAACATGGGACATTCAATTACATGTTTTGACTTATCAATAGTGCTGTAGAATATTTATCATCAAGAGCAGCAGTTAACAATCAATAGCACAACATGTATATACATACTTTGTAAGAAAAGAGAAGTGCAGTGTCGTGATTGCAACAGACAATGTGCAACAGTTTATACCTGTTACAACAGACTATCTGTTGTACAACACATACATTTGTTTATTTAAATGTCTTCTTATCGAAATGATTCAAACTTTTCTTGAATTGAATGCGCATTAATGCGACTTGAATATTAACAATCCGCCATATTACATGATATCAGTGAACTCCTGAAAGTTGAAACACCGGGCACTTCCGGTCATCTGTATATGTGACGAATTAACCGGAGATACTCGTGAGAGGGTCGGCTATGTTTTCTGTGACTATAGCTTGATTCGCTGTTTCGCACAAGTCTTCAATACCCTCATAAAGATACCTTCATGTTTCATTGTAATTGCCCCGTATTTCTGTATTTGTAACAAGTTGATATTTTCCGTAAATAAAGCATAATTCGAAAGCAAATGTAAATATGGCCGCGTTGAAACAGAGATCAATATTTCGGTGGTGTTCCGGCCGGTGTAGAAAAACGAGGAGAGGGGTTAACAACAGACTATTCATTAACGATTTGATTGTCACCAATTAACTTGAAACCACTCGGCTCCTTCCTTAGTATTCAACCAAAGGATGTGTTTTGCAATAGAGCTTTCTGACACATACATTTTTCATGTTTTTTAAAATGTCAAGTCGTTGCTTCCAACCCATTTCTTCTTCTTCGTTAATCACTAATCTACAGCCGAAGTACAACGTTCCTAGCACTCTCGCAATCAAATAATCAGGAAATTCAATTAACTCGAAAATTTTGGATATTTTCTATGAATATCATCATGACGACAAGAGAAAACAAGAAAGGACAAGAACATGCTTTAAAGTACCATTTTTAAACTAACAAAGTTGGTAACAAAGTAAACTCCATCCACTAAAACTTGTTTCTACGTCAGGTAAATTAATGAGATGACAGTGCACATATTCATACATATTCCACAAACTCCAAAATACATGAATGTATCAAAATCCCCGTCTCATTAAAATAAAATACTGAGCATGCTACGCCACTGTTTATTTGTAATTTATCTTTATTTAATGTATTTAGATAAAAATTATTACAGCCGTTATCCTATTTCAAATATTGACTACATCCTTAGTCTAAAAATTTGATGTTATGTTCCAAATTGTTTTCAAATACTGTTCAGAATCATTCACTCTCGTTCACTCTTATAGTTAAAAAGGAAATAAAATTCTATGCTTAATCATATTCTTCTATAGTACGTTAAATTTCAGAAAACGTCTAATAATTTCGCGAAAAAAATTCAACTTCCCCCATTTTTGAGAACTTTTAGTAGCCGTGAAATAACTACAATACGCAGTTCACTGCACTGTAGCAGAATTTAAATTAATCCTAATAAAAAGAATGACCAATATGACAAGAATAATGAGCAAAATTGCAGCTACAACTGCACCAGCAATAGCACCAGTATTTCCACCGTCTACAAGATAAAATTGAATGACAAATCATAACATTACCAACCAATGTTGTCTTTCAGCGATCATTTTATCATTTTTCTAAAGCTGAGGGTGTAACCGCTCTCACACCTCATGTATTCATCCCTGTCAACTATTCATGATTTATTTATGCTATAAGTTAGGTTTGGAACGCAATGAAGTTAGAGACGAAGTACACAAAATCACTAAGGCAGTTATTTGTTGCAATTAAATCGGCTGTATCATCAAATAATATCTCTACTCATCCTTAAAAAATTTCTGGCACTTGTCTGTACTGAGATTTATAAATATTTTGAAGCATTACACTTTAGACATCGATAAACTTCCTTATGCTATTGAAAGCAAACACAAACCTGAAGACTTGTGCTTTTGGGCAGTTGCTGCCACTGGACTCCAGTCAGTGGAATAATAATCACCCTGAAACGAAGTGAACATTTATATTTGAATAAAAATTGCAGCAATCAATGCAGATGAAAATGTATAAAAAATATCGCACCTGATCATTAATGAAAATGCGCTGAAATATTTTGTAGTTAGTGCCAATCTTCAACGGGCCATTATAATAATTTTCACCAATGGAACGCCGTGTTGTGTTTTCACCGTCACCAAGTGTAAAATCAGGCTTAAAGTCTCTGCGAGAGACTACAGCGGCAATATACGGCATTAGTTGTGCGGAAGATATGGCCTGAGAATAAGTCCCTAAGTCTGTGTTTTTAAAGTTAGAAGGCAATTGACTCCCTTCCGTGCAATTTTTCATTGCGACTACATAGAAATATCTGCAAGTTGAAGGCAAAACATTTTTTAAAAATACATACATAACCTCTGCTTTCGTTATTCGTTAAAATATATGTTATGCATGTATCTGCACTGCCAGAGAAAAGCGACGAGTCATCAAAACTTTTCCAGAGAGATATATATGAACTCACCATCTTCAGCAGTTCTAAAATTAGCTGTAGTTGATCTACCAAAGCCTTCAGAATTGCCAGCGGTTACATTAACTTTATACGTTGCGTAAGGAAAAAGATTCGTAATGTTGTACGGTTTTTTGTCAGTTACCTCTAAAGTTTTATCGAAAACAATCATAGTATCCTTCAGCAAAATCAATAGATATCTTGTAAGAGGATTCGAGATATTTGTACCAAGTTTTACACCAGTTTTTTTGGGATGTTTCCATGATATCTCGAGGTACGTCGATGCAGATTTGGTTGCAATGAGATCTGTTGGTTTGTCTGGGAGTAAGTCTGCACGATAAAAGAAAAATCTACAAATTGAACCATGTGTAGCCCTTAAATGAAATCAGTCTTTCTGCTTTTTCTTCAATAACACGTGTTAAACTTAACTGCATGTTGAAAAGGCTTCTTTCAATAAGTTTATTTCATTAGAGAAAAAAGACTAACACTTCAGCCTTCATGGAAAATTGTTCACTTTTGTCAACTAACACTTATTTAATTAATTCTCAGAGAAAAAAATTTATATATTGATTAAATAAGTGCTTACAGTGCAAAGTAAACCTGGTAAATTTTTTCCACCTCTTACATCCACCTCAAATTTCAATTCGTAAACACGGTGCACCAACAAATTTCGATGGAAAGATTCGCAAAGCTTTTGATTTAAGGCCACCAGAAAACTTTTCTATAGCCGCATCATTGTAACCATTTTTGTTTCCTAGATAAATCTGGAATAAAACAAAAAAAAAAGATTTTCGTGTATTTGCAGAGCAAGGTTAGAGAAAAGAAAGGTTTGTTTAACGCTGTCCAGAGGAGAGTAGTTTATGCATTGTCTATGTATCTCTTCAAATCATGCACATAGCTACAATTTAAACTTTATAATCAAATGCAAGAGTCCTTCGTAGTGCAGGAGTAACCAAGACAATCAACACAGTGACGTAGCTAGCCCACAAATTTGGTCGTGCTATATGTAAATTTCTCAGAGCTCACTAACTGTAAAACAATAGATCTCTAAAGAAATGAATAATGATAATGATCTGAAATTTACATAGAACCAGCAATTTTGCGTGCCGGCTACACCACTGAATCAACATCTGCACACAAGTTTGTATATAAATAGCAATTTAAAAGTTTACTTAGTTTATAACTTCATTCCTTTTTTAAATTTCCCTTTAAATTTATAATATACAAATTCGATAAGTCTACTGTTACCTTCTAGGATTTTTCAGATTTCCAGTTCACACCATCAATGTTTGTCTGCAAGTGATATTTAGTTACAAAGCTTGAACTTGAACTGTCTCCAAAGATTGCGATCAGTTGAAAATAATAATTGCCATCTGCAGCAGGAGCACACCATGAACTACCACTGGATATTCTTGCTTTAGAAGCACTACGACTCTTTGGGAAGGCAGTAAACCAAGAATCTGGGAATTTTTCTGCGTTTTTTAATAGAGAATTCTCACAAACATGACCTTAAATAGAAAAGGGATTTTGTTGAAATTCATTACAACGTTAGAACTGGTTTGATTTGATGCAATCCCATATTGATCTCCATTCACAAAAAGTCGCAAAAATTAAAAATTGTTGTCTGAAAAAAGAGAAAGAGAGAGCACAAGAAGTATTTGAGGAATACGCCTGATTTTACATTTTTTGAAGCACGAAATGAACTAGCAAGAATAAAATTAATTTAATCCCCAGTATTCGCAGCAACCCTGTCTGAATTATTCATTATCCAAGAGTAGCAATAGTTTATGTTTTGATATATTTGTAAATGAATAATTGTGAAATTCTCCAAGTTAGCGTAAAATACAGTGACACAACGATGACAGATGTAAGTCTTGATGATAGAGGTAAGTCATGATGCTTAACAAAAGACAGATGTAAGTTGAGAACACAAAAGTAACACATTTATTCCTTAAATTCTTCGCTCAAAACTTTTTCTAACGTCATACAAATGTGTCCTACAATACGTTGAATAGAAGAGGTACACAAAATTCAGTACTTGACATTGGCAAGTACTCATGTGTATAATGTAACCTCAAGTACTCATGTGTATAGTGTATAGTCAAGTACTCACGTGTATAGTGTACGGTCAAGTACTCATGTGTATAGTGTACGGTCAAGTACTCATGTGTATAGTGTACCCTAAAGTATACATGTCAATCAACAGAACGTCTCATCGTTATTTTCTAAATCAATGTTGTCCTACAACAATATGTTTACAAAATCTTTGTGGTTGAGAGTAACAACGAATGAAAACTTTAAACATACAACATTTGTAAACACTAAATGATAAAAAAAAATTGCTTACCTGTTTTTAAAGACAAGAAAAGCAAAAGTAAAAGCAAAACTTTGTCGTTCGCCATTTAAAAAAAAGTTACAATTTGCATGCCTTCATCGAAATGAATTGTAAAAAATCGAAAACGCAATTTCTCCATGTACAAATAATCAAATCTTTAAAGTACAAATCTTTTTTTGACAATTGTCAATTGGCTAGCGTATAAACTTAACTGTCTCGATGACACTGAAGAAAATACTGCAGTGTTGATTTGAAACAAATTACTCAACAGGAGATTTTAAGATGATATCAACCCATAGACATATCGGCACAATACCGCATTCTTTAAAGGTACAAAATCCACTTCTTCTTAAGATCACGTGATCACGAAGATTCTTTAATGATTTCTAGTCTTCTCGGCCCGTATAGCAACACATATGCACAATGCCAGTCACCTAAAGGAGAAACAGCCTTAACCAAGGATCATTAAAATAAAGCAGACATTCAAATAAAATCAAAGCTATTTTCTATGAGATAGAAGTGGGGTGTTGCAATTGTAGAAGACTATCTGCGATAGGCTATTTCTGTTGGGAAAGACGTCTTTTGTGCAAAGTATATACATGTTTATTTGATTCTATGGAATGCACGTTAATGAAACTTGAATATTCCCTATTGTTATGCTATGCGGCATAAATAAATAAACATTGATTTTCGGCTAGTGCTCTTGATTATTCCTTCGCGCTAATGAATTTTCTAAATGACTATTGATAAGTCAAAGCGTGTAATGGAATGTTCAATGTGCTCCAATGATGAGCAAATGATGTATTAAAATAGACTAAATTAAAATTATTTAAGAAATAAAAGATTTTTACTGTGTTTGCACAGGCTTATGAAAACCGAGGAGACCTTTGGGAGAACTCGAGAGAAGATCAGTGCAAGCCCGAGACCGAAGGTCGAGGGTTGCACATGCTCGAGATTTTGTTTCGCTTTCGTTTCAACGTCTCAATTGACGATGAAACCCACGCAAAATAAGTCTTTTCCAAGCTGAAAAGTTTTAGCCGGCATGAAGAAAGGTAACATTATATTTGAAAGAATGTTTAGACATTGTGATACGATATTGATTGCAATATATATAAAAATTGCAATATCATTGAGAGGCTCTAACCCAAACACAAAAGGAGCAAAACATGATCATAAAAAGCATTGATAAAATTTTCAAAGAACCCTTCCTCTAAATTCAACTAAAACTTCAGCAGCAGATACCTAACACAATGATAATCACCATTAAAACTTAGGCAGAGGATGATCTTACCTCCCCCGGATAATTTCAAAACATCTTCCTCAGTGATGTGTGTTATTTTATCGTCGTCGCACTTAATCCAAGAGTCTAAAATTTAAAGTAAATGGTTTGAGCCCGGGAGTATAGCTACATGTTTGTGGATGTAGATAGAGCCCCGAGAAAGACTCTTGTTGTTGAATGATGACTAAAGTTTCGACAACCTTAGCGGGAGTCATCTTCATCTAAGGTTGTCGAAACGTCAGTCAACACCAAAAACAACAGTCATTCTCAAGAGTCTAAAATGTAAAAACAGAACATAAAAGTGCATTGCATCCCCTGCAAAATTAGTTACAGACATTGATTACACAACTTAAGCGCATGTTTTCATACTCAAAAGTCGGACAAAAATACGATTGAAAAAAAAAGAGAAACTAAAGGAGGAAGTAGAAGCGTTCGCCCCACCTACCACGTGTAAACTAACACCTGTCATTTCAAGACATGATTAATGATATTAAACGGACGTTTGCTGCCCACACAGATTTATTTAACATAAGACCATTGCAAGGATTCCCACTTCATTCCACGTCCATCGTTTCCACGTTTTTACTTCATCATTCTCTTCGTTTGAAAAGTTTTTCGCAAAAATGGCTTTGAGTTGGAGGTTTTCTGTCATGTTCTGCTTCAGCGTATTCGATCTGGGTAAGTTGTTGGAATTTAAATCATCACGAACAAGTGAACACTTTTTGGTAGAAATTCACTCAACTTGTCGTGAAGTCCTTTTGTCTTGAAGTTACTGTGATTTGAAATGATGGCGATGACGCCACAGTTGATGCAAAAACAGCAAACGGACATTTTAGATTCTTTATTCAATGATTTTTTAATACGTAACTCGTGTTTGCATGAGACTTGTCTCTACGCAAACAAATACTTGGTTTCAACTTAAATCATATCAACTTTCACAAAACGGCGCTCGATGCTTCAACCGTGACTAACTTAAACATATTTCATTAGACTCAGTAATAAAACAACTACTTCGTAGCTAAAATACATGAACCTTAACTAAGCAGTTTCTTTTGCCTTGACCACAACGTAATCATCCCAGTGAATTAAAACTGGCGCTCATTCTCGAAAGTAACCGCCCTCAAGCCCCCGCGCACAAATAGTAACCGCCCCTTAAAAGAATTCCCCCTTAATGGAACCACCCCCCTAAAAGGAGCCACCTGCTTACAAAACAAAGTTTTTTCGAATAAGTAAAAATAGACTGTCAAATTTCATTTAGCAATTTCCTAAAGAGTTCTTACAAGAACAAATGAAGAGATAGAGCGTTTATAATCGAATTTCCTTCTTTAGTTTGTCAAAGTGTACTTTCAAAATCGTTGTTCGTCAGTCAAAATGGCGCAGATTTTCCATTGTGTGGTTATAAAAATCGTCCTTGTCGAACGATCAGACACGCCATTACGATTGCAAGGCCTGGTGAGGAGATTCTCATTGAATATGCGCACAAGCCATATGACGAATGCCAAGATTCAAGAACAGTTACATATCTTAACAAGTCCCTAACGTTCATAGGTCACAAAGGCAAACCGACAATTGAATGCAAAAGAGGAGCTCAATTATTCAAAATATCATCACTGAACGAAAAGATCACCATAAACACGACGAATATGATTCTGATATCTTCAAACTCGGTCATTAGCTGCGATAAACGATCAAGATTCGCACTTTACATCAGGAACTGCGTTTTCCGAGTTTCCAATGCAGCAATCGCAGCAAAATCAGCTCACGATTGTTCCATCACGATCCTCAAGAGTACTTTTTATGGTCGTACGTTCCCATCGGCATCAATGAGTTGTCTAAATCTAACAGCACATCTTGTCGACAGTACGTTTCGCGCCAGTCCTGTCTCTCTTCGAACAATTATGGAAAAAAAGACACTCTACGTTCAACATACGACCGTTTTCGTGTCAAACTGTCATTTTCATGGCGAGCAAAAGAAAATGTGCGGATCGCTTCTACAAATATTGCCAATGGCAGTCTATAGTAATGTCACAATTGTAAGCAGCAAATTCACAGATCATTTTGGAATATGCACTGGAACTAAAACAGGAAATACGCTTTATATCAAGGGGAACAAGTTCGCAAAGAAACGAAAACAAACGCTTATTCATCTAAATAACCTAACACTAAAAGACAACCGTTGCACAGGAACAATACTTCGACTTGAGCCGCTGCAAAAAAAAGTAGATATCTTTGATGTTGTTGTTTCTAATTCGTTATTTGAAAACACATCATCCGTTTTGTACGTTTTTGATCGTTCGCGTGGTGGCCTTCGAGGCAAAGCTGTACGTTTCGTCAACAACACTTTCATAAACACGCATAAATATCGCTCAAGTCGTTTTAACAATCTCCATTTAAATCCTGGAAAATTTCTGTTCACAAAATGCACGTTTATCGATAACTATGGCGGAAATGAGCCCAACGATGCTGTCATTGGCGTCGCTTCATACAGTGTTGCCGTTATATTCAGAGACTGTTATTTCGAGAACTCGAATCCTGCATCGTCCTCGACGCTAATCTTCTCACAAAAACAGAACTTCGTGCTGTTTCAAAAAAACAACACGTTTAATATCACCGCGACCCAACGTGAACTAAACGTCATCGCGTACATTTTCACGAAGCCCGATAATGTACGTCGTTTCCGTCTTAAGGACAACCTCAAGATCCTTTGTCCCTACGGATATGTGATGTCCAAAAGGATGTTTTGCTACGAGGGCAAAAATAAGGCATACGTTGAATGCAACGAGTTCGTGGTAAAATGTAAACCATGTCAGCGGAATACTTATTCGGTAAGTCGTGTGATACTTCATAACAATATCACCAACAGTATCAATTGTCAGGACTGCGCGAATGGCGGTCAATGTTACAATGGTCGCCTGACAGCAAAGCCAAACTACTGGGGATATAAAGTCAACCAATCAGTCCGCTTCATACGATGCCCACACGGTTACTGTTGCCAAGGCAATGACTGCGTCACATACAGTAGTTGCCATGGAAAGAGACAAGGTAAAATTTGCGGGGAATGCCCGCATGGCATGTCGGTATCGTTGTTTTCTGCAGCATGCATTCCAAACGCTAACTGCGGTCATTATGATGCTATTCTCTTTGGCCTCGGCTACTGTATCGTTTATTTAGTGTTTTTTCTCTACCATAAAGAAATAATTCGATTTGTCAAGCGAATTTTTTTCACTTCCTCCAAAGAAACCAACAGCGGATTGTTGAAGATCGTATTCTACTATTACCAAATCAGCCGTTTCTTGGTGAGTCCAACTAATTTTGAATCCCGTCAAACAGCCATGACGGAAGTACGTAATAAGATCGGAGAAATTTTCAACTTCATCATCATGAGTATTCCATTCCTGGAATGTCCAATTCGTGACCTTAATGACGTCACAAAACAAACAATCCTTCACTCGCTGGGCTACGTCCTTCTCACATTTCTTGCCGTGCTGTTCACGGCAACAATTTTAAAGAATTTCGTCTGTAAACGCTTTAAATCTTACACGTCACGAGACATCCCGTTTTCCATCGAGACTGATGCAAGAGACGACGGAAAAGACCAAAGTTTCGAGGCGCGCATTGCTTCAGCATATACGCTCATCTCCCTCCTTATGTACGCATCATCCACTCAACTCTGTTTATCCTTGCTGCATTGTGTTCCATTGGATGATGAGCAAGTTCTCCACATTAACGGCAACGTTAAATGTTATCAGCTATATCAATATATTTTCCTGGCATATTTCATAACATCCATACTGCCGTTTTGTCTTGTTCCTGTTCTCGGATCGCACCTTCTACGACTTGAAAAGATCACCGTCAAGCACTTCTGTATGGCTTGCCTCTTCCCTCTACCCTTCTGTTGCTATTGGCTGTATCTATTCACAAGGATACGCGGTTTTACGAGAATGGGACAACATAACAACGACCATACGATGCAGGATATATGTGAGATAAACACGAACAATGAAGAAACAAACATCGAATGTCATACCGCAAAGAGTACGAACAGGATACTTCATGTCTTACAGGGTCCATTCAGACTTTATAAAGCCGATGAATGTTCCACAACTTCGCGCATACCGTGGGAAGGATTTCTCATCTTTCGTAGACTGGTTCTAATTGTCGTGCTGACTTTTATCTACGATGTTAAATTACGAATGCTGGTCGCTTTAACGATCTGCGTGGCGATTTTGATATGTCACATGCTGGTGTTCCCCTTTCAGACCAAACGCGATAATATCGTGGAGTCAATCTTTTTAGCTATACACGTTATTTTATGCGGGATTACCTTGGTCAAGACTCTTTATCATGAAGAAGGTAACGGTTCTTATAATGCGGAGAAACTCCTCGCGTTGGATGCAATACGAGATATAATAATACTTTCACCCATGTTTATTATATTAATGGCTGTTGTTCTTTCACTTGTTATAAAGATCTCGAATGGATTGAAATGTTTTGCAACGGGCTTGTTTAGAAAAATAAAACGCACAGGAAATTGACGTAACGTTGGTCTTGACCTTTAAAAAAAAAGCTCGCAGCAACGAGACATATGTTGACAATATAAAAACAAAAAGCGAAGCTAGCGAATCTTTTGTGTTTAAGCGTTTGAATCGAGGCGTTTATCACCCCGATGCAATATGTTTAGTACCTAAGGTCAGATGGGGTTGAAGAAAGAAATTATAATCCAATGATATAAGACTTTACTCCCTATTACACCCTTTGATCCATGCAATATAATAACCTTTACTCACTGTTACTCCCTTTGATCCATGCCACATAATGACCAGATGACGATGATCGTCCTTGATGAGTCAGAACAGCTTGCAACTGGTAAAAACCACTGTTATTAGAGCCAGTGTCTGAAAATCAAACAAGGATTAGAAAGGTTCGTGCATGGATAACTAGGGATCCGGTACTTCATACATGAATAGCATAGGTAATGTAATTCATGCATGGACGAGGAGGATAATCTACTACACGCATGGATGAAATGGGTAATGAAATTCATGCATGGATAAGGAGGGTAATCTACTACATGCAAGGATAAGAAGGGGTAATGTACTTGATGCACGGTGACAGAAGACAAATTGAACACTGCTTATAATTTTTGTAATTCGAAAGAAATTTATGCATTTAAAGAACAATACTATTATTTTAAATATATCAGAAAAAGATTACATCAAGATAATATACAAAATTAAGTACGAAAGATTTTAACGTATGAATCTACTGGTCATTAAACCAAGAGTAAAAAACTAAAAGTGACATTTTGTCGTTTCATCAACTGCGTCAGTTTTTACGACACAACGTTTTTCAAGAGCTATTTGCAAATGTTTCGGCTTAAGAATAGAAGCTGTATTCGTCATGTCAGCTTCCACTCTCTGATACTTCATGTTTAGACACAACGTTTTTCAAGAGCCATTTGCAAATGTTTCGGCTTAAGAATAGAAGCTGTATTCGTCATGTCAGCTTCCACTCTCTGATACTTCATGTTTAGACACAACGTTTTCAAGAGCTATTTGCAAATGTTTCGGCTTAAGAATAGAAGCTGTATTCGTCATGTCAGCTTCCACTCTCTGATACTTCATGTTTAGACACAACGTTTTTCAAGAGCTATTTGCAAATGTTTCGGCTTAAGAATAGAAGCTGTATTCGTCATGTCAGCTTCCACTCTCTGATACTTCATGTTTAGACACAACGTTTTCAAGAGCTATTTGCAAATGTTTCGGCTTAAGAATAGAAGCTGTATTCGTCATGTCAGCTTCCACTCTCTGATACTTCATGTTTAGACACAACGTTTTCAAGAGCTATTTGCAAATGTTTCGGCTTAAGAATAGAAGCTGTATTCGTCATGTCAGCTTCCACTCTCTGATACTTCATGCTTAGACACAACGTTTTCAAGAGCTATTTGCAAATGTTTCGGCTTAGAATAGAAGCTGTATTAGTCATGTCAGCTTCCTCTCTGATACTTCATGTTTACCAATGTCATACGGTAACTATATAACATCCGGGCAATGACATCGAACACAACCATCTTCGCGAGAGTCTCTCCGACACAAACGCGACTGCCTGCCGAGAATGGAAGCGTCGAGAAGGCGGTGGTGTCGAATAATTTCCACAGCTATTCAAAATCGGGCTGGCCTAAAGACATGCGGGTCATGCCAAGTTCTTGCGTCATTATGAATAGCAAAGGCATTTACGATTACAGTCGTGTCTTTAGGAATGTGAAAACCGTTAATTTTTGCATCGGATGTTGCCCTATGGGGTAGAAGTAAAGGTACAATAGACCCATATCTTAACGTTTCTGTGATGCTTGCCCAGAAGAAAGGTAGTCGATGACGGTCGGAAAATGTCGGGGGAGAATCGGGGCCTAGAACTTGCATCATCTCTTCGTAAATCTGATCTTGTATATCTGAATGAAAAGCCAAGAGATACAGCCCCCACGTGATCACTGACGTCGAGGTTTCAATTCCCGCTAGAAAAATATTGTTGTAAATTGTCATGTTATGTTATGTAGAGTGTGAATATACCGTATGATATAAACTGTAAAATGTTAAGTCATATATTACTAGACAAATACGTATATAGTTACTAAACTGTGGTTTCAGTGGAAATCCTGTACGTAAATTCAAAATACTTAGGAACACTTTTCTACCCAATGTGGCATTGCGGTAGGATGTGTAATGACAGTACTCTATAAACGGAATGGCGTAGTGCAAGTCATGCAAACGCCCAAAAATTATATCCTAATAATTATAATATAAATAAGAGCTTGCAAGCGTTGGTTCGGGAGTTCGGAAAACAGACGTTGTTAGACGTACAAAAGTGATAAGTTGGAAATCGTATCGCAGGAGGCGATAGCGTTTGAATAAGTTTCAAGTTTAAAGATTGACGGTTGGCCGTAATCTCAACGTTTCAATAACATATTTGTGTCGCAAAGAACCAACGTTTGGAACTCCGTATCATAAATCGTGCACAAACCACTGTAAATATCCTATCAAGTGTTAAATACAATTGTCAAAATACAGTCCCATCGTTCGAGTGAAGTTTCGAGAGCAGTGAACCAGCACTTCGCGCAGATTGAAGCGTGGTCCTTCGAGCCGGATAGAGTAGCAGAATTCGAGAACACATAGATAGGATAAAAAGGGTTGTTCACGATGTCAGAGCTGACAAGAAAGCGACAGTCGAGGAGGGCATAAATCGTACGCCACAAAAGTTGTGAACAAGGTGAGAGTATGGTAAACGATAATGCGCCACTAAGGAAAGTCGAATTGGAACAAATGCGGCTTGTACTCGTACAGAAATTGGATACAATTTCGAAGTTAGACGATGAGATTCAGAGCTTGTTGGAAAAGGATGAAGATATTGAGGCAGATATCGACAGCTCATCGGAATACGGCTGCGAAGTTCTGGGTGCGTTGGCCGAAATTAACGAAGCGCTGAGCACAATAGAGACGAACAAACGAAACGAGGAACTCGCCAACACATCGACAAGTACAGTATCCAGTGGGGCACGCTGTAGAGTGAAGCTGCCTAAACTAGAGGTGAAAAAGTTCTCGGGCAAGATACAAGATTGGCGTGAATTCTGGGACTCTTTCGAAAGTTCCATTCACAACAATGACGGACTGTCTGAGGTCGACAAATTCACCTATCTGAGGGGACTGGTGGAGGAGCCGGCCAAGTCAGCAATTTCGGGATTTGCTCTGACTTCGATTAACTATGCAGAAGCACTGAAGGTGTTAGAACGGAGATACGGGAGCAAAGTGATGGTGCAAAGGGCACACGTAAATGATTTGATGAACTTAAAACCCGTGTACAACGAGAGTGACACGATGAGGCTGCGCAAGTTCTTTGACGCCGTGGAAACGAATTATCGAGGACTCGAGGCGCTCGGTGTAAAGGAGGAAACGTACTGCGAGATAGTCGTGCCCAATCTTCTAACAAAAATGCCGGACTCATTCAAACTGACGATTACCAGGGGAAGAGACTACTTAGAGTGGGGCATGAAAGATTTGTCGACGCATTACAAGCCGAAGTGGAGCTGCGGGAATGCCACAAATTAGCGGTCGGAGAGAAAGAAGAAGATCAACGAAGAAGACGACGGGAACCGGGAACAGCTAGCGGGTTGTTTGCCAGCCGCAACAACCGATTGTTTTGTGCTTTCTGTTGTGGAGAGCACAAGCATGAAGAATGTACCAAGGTAACAGGGCGGCAAGAACGGATGCAACTTCTTCGTAAGTTCAAACGATGTTTCATTTGTTTAAATAAGGGACATTTAGCTAAAGATTGTCGTGCACGTATTAAATGTAGTGTATGTGGGGAGGGTCATCATGTTTCCATATGTGATAAGAGTAATAATAACCAGAAGGATGAAAGAAATAGTCGGGAAGAAAGTGGACAGGTTAGTGTAGCTAATGTCCATGTTAGTACTAGAAGTAGAGTGGCTCTTCAAACTGCGCAGGAGTACTTATAGGAAAGGGTAAGACAAGAGTGCGAGTGCTTTTCGACTCGGGAAGTCAGAAATCCTTTGTGACGTGTGACGCGAAGAGGTGTGCCAAGCTTAACGTTGCTAGGCGAGAATGGTTGGAAGTTAATACATTCGGTGGTGGAAGTAACAAAGGTAGAATGACAGAGGTTGTTCAGTGCGAGGTATCGGCAGTTCGAGGAGGTCGTAAAATACGCGTAGAGGCTTTAGTAGTTCCTCATATTTGCGATCAAAATGAGCATCTTGAGGTAGATAAGAACAAGTATTCGCATTTGAAGGATTTGTGGTTGTCAGACGTTAATTTGAAGCAGGACACGTTAGATGTTGATGTTTTGATAGGTGCGGATAACCTTTGGGCATTTCAACAAGGTGAGATAATTAGGGGCAAGGATGACGAACCCGTTGCCATCAATACTTGTTTAGGTTGGGTAATAAGCGGTCCACTGAAAGGGAGCTCGAACTTGAAAAACGCACACGTTAATTTAGTTTCACAGATTGCAACACAAAACGCAGACAGCATTAATGGGGATGTGAGTAAATTGTGGGATTTAGAAACGCTTGGAGTAAGAGAGACTAATGACGTGCATGAAGCATTGCTTGACAAAATAGAGTTCAATGGGTCAAAATATGTAGTAAAATTGCCATGGAAACAGGGTCATGAGCACTTACCGTCAAATTATTCAAATAGTTTAGCACGCATGAAAGGGCAGATAAAGAGGTTGTCAAGTGAGCCATCATTGTTGAAAGAATATGATAAAATTATAAAGGAACAGCTAGAAACGGGTGTTATAGAAAGGGTAGATGAGTCTGAACCTGGGGTAAATGTTCATTACCTTCCCCATCAAGCCGTAATACGTAAAGAGGCCAAAACAACCAAATTGAGAATTGTTTATGACGCATCGTCAAAGAGGGTAAGAGAGGGACTTCTTTGAATGACTGTCTTCATGGGACCACCACTAACGCCGTTGTTGTTTGACATATTAATTAGATTTAGGGAGAGCAGAGTGGCCTTGGTAGGAGACATTGAGAAAGCCTTTTTGAACGTAGAAGTAGACGAAGCAGACAGGAACTATTTGAGATTTTTGTGGGTGAGAGATGCGACTAATGGTAATTTAGAGGTTGTAGTGTATAGGTTTTGTAGAGTAGTGTTTGGACTAAATGCATCGCCCTTCCTGCTTAACGCTACGCTTAGACATCACATTGCGCAATTTGCAGAATCAGATCCAGTGCTTGCTCAGAAATTGAATGAGGGGTTTTACGTGGATGATCTAGTTTCGGGGGGCAAGAGCGCACAGGAAACAATCGAGTTGTACGAGAAAGCAAAATTTAGGATGTCCCAAGGCGGGTTTAAGTTAAGAAAATGGCTTACGAATG